GCACCAAACGAGATTCTCATCCGGGATCAGAGTTCTGCAGACCACTCCTATGGCGCCGAGCCCTGCGAGGATGAACAGCAAATGCTCCACCTGGAAGACGTGCTCCTCGTAAATGCCCAATCCAAGGATTAGAAGTAGTAGTCCACCACTTATAAAAAGCAGATTTTTGGCTATCACAGCGGCCAGTGGCGAGGAAAAGGAGTTGAGGTAGCGGTCCGCGTAGTCATATGCCCGATTCAGCCTGGCATCTAGTTCGTGGTCCAGCTCATTAAAGTGGCGCAGGTAGAGGCGTCCGTAATTGGACCATGTACGCAGGCCAAGGGCACCAGGCTCCTTACGTAGAATGTTCGCATAGGAGAAACTGAAGTAGATAAGCTGCCATATGAAGATCACAGGCGCCAGGACCAAATTTAACAACGCCACTCCTAAGATCAGTTTGGAGAGTCGCTGCGCCAGCTCCGTTTGATTGCTCCTTACCGCGAACTCATCACGCAGTTGCCAGTTGTTCTGGAAAGGAGATCCAGGGCCGCGAAACAGGATGAAGTCAATGTTGAACAACATACCTCGACTCAGCGAGACCACTTCGCCATACAGCGGTATGTGGAATCTCACAGGCAACAGTTGTTTGTTCATCAGTGCTACCAGGTAGTTCTTGAAGCGCAGAACTCGGTGATATATGTCCAATTCCGTGAGCGACTCCTTGTCGATGCACATGTGCTGTTCGGCCTGGACTCGACGGATACGCTGTTGCACCTCGTGCCACGTGAAATTGTCCAGATCCGAGTCCTCGATATGAAGTGCAGAGTTGTAGAATCTCCTAATATCGGCGTACTGGGTTATATGGTATACCATTTTCAGTAGTCTGATGCCCAAATAGATAGCGGCAATGAACACAACTAGGTACGTGACCCAAGTGAAGTTGGCTAAGCACTTCCCTGTAGGGTATATCACATCGGATAAAGTTGTCTTGCTGTGATTGCCACCCGCTGGTGGGGTATCCCCAAATAGCACGTCGAAGCGGACGCAGTGCACCACAACAGCCAGTAGCCAGACGACGAAACCAAACTCCAGAACCTGTAGCATTTCGTCCACTACAATCACTGTGAATCCGTGCTTCTGCTGGTACTGATACATTCGCGAGAAGAACGAGTCAAGGTCCTCGATGTGGTTCCACCGCGCACGCCCCGTCTCCGGAACCATGTGGATCATGACGCCACTGTTTCGGGGCGTGTCCTCGCCCTCATGCTCGGTGTCGTTTTCATCCAGCGGCTGCTCGAGCCCGTGTTCGCCGAGGGGGTCTAAATGCGCAGCAGCTGCGTTCACTTTTGCGTCTTGTGTTTTGGATGGGCCTTGGCCCGCGGAGGGACGTTGCTCCAGGAATGGACTGGCCGCCTCCTCGGCCAGGGAGCGGTAGTTGATATGTGGGCTAGACATCGCCCAACGTCAAGGTCAACCGTTCTGACTATTTATATCGCTGTATAGTATAAGTTGCAAAAATTCTTTGTTGTTTGATTCTGCTGAACCTTCTCAGCTAACAGCTGACTCTCCTAAGAGAAGTGTTGGCCAACGTCAAATTTCTGTTTAATGAATAAGTAATGTGGACTTCTGCAGTGCCCAGTACACATTTCACACTGGTAGTGTATCACTACAAAACACTTCTTGGTGATATAATGTCAGCAAATAAAATGAGATTGAAAATTTCAGTAATTAAATTTGTATTGGCTTTGTTTATCTTAATTAAATATCCGCTTTAACGTATTGAAATATTTGGAGGTGACATCAGGAATCACTCTTGTTTAAGATGCGCAAAGTGTGAACAGTCTAAGATTTCCATCAACATAATTCTGCACATGAGTGGGCAGTTCTCTCATGCGTTTGTAAACAAACAAATTGTAGCTCTCAATAAATTGCAAATTTTATTTAAAAATCTGCCAATATGGGTAAAAGACAGCATCAAAAGGACAAAATGTAAGTGTTGGGCACATCCAGCGACTAATAAAACTTAAGTGCACGCATTGCTTTCGCAGGTACCTCACGTACACGGAGTGGAGTGAGCTGTATGGCGGCAAAAAAGTGGAATCCTTGGAGAACGACCATGTCAAGTTTAAGCGGCTTCCTTTCGAGCACTGCTGCATTACGATGGCGCCCTACGAGATGCCCTACTGCGACCTACAGGGTAATGTGTTTGAGTACGAGGCCATCCTGAAGTTTCTAAAGACCTTCAAGGTGAATCCCATCACCGGGCAGAAGATGGACTCCAAGTCGTTGGTGAAACTGAATTTCCACAGAAATGCCAACGATGAGTACCATTGTCCCGCTTTGTTCAAGCCCTTCAGCAAGAACTCGCACATTGTGGCGGTGGCCACAACGGGAAATGTTTACTGCTGGGAGGCAATCGACCAGCTGAACATCAAGACAAAGAACTGGAAGGATCTGGTGGACGACACGCCGTTCCAGCGTAAGGACATCATCACCATACAAGATCCCCAGAAGCTGGAGAAGTACGACATCTCTACCTTCCATCACATCAAAAAGAACCTGCGAGTTTTGACGGAAGAAGAGCAGCAGGAAAGGAAGAATCCAGCCAGCGGGCGCATTAAGACCATGAATCTGGAGACCAAGGAGACGCTAGCGCAGCTGCAGCAAGACTATCAGCCAGCGGAAGAGGAGCCCTCCACTTCAAAGCGTACAGCTGACAAGTTCAATGCTGCTCACTATTCCACTGGAGCGGTGGCGGCCAGTTTTACGTCTACCGCCATGGTGCCCGTTTCCCAAATAGAGGCGGCCATTATAGACGATGATTTGGTAAAGTACGAGAGGGTAAAGAAGAAGGGCTACGTTCGCTTAAATACGAACCTTGGCCCTCTTAACCTGGAACTCTTCTGCGACCAAACTCCTCGAGCCTGCGATAACTTCATTAAACATTGCGCCAATGGTTACTACAATAATGTTATGTTTCACCGGTCCATACGAAATTTTATTGTAAGTGCGAACTCTTTTGAGTGAAACTTTAATTTATTATGGTTTTTGCTACAGGTGCAAGGAGGTGATCCCACTGGAAGTGGGTCTGGTGGCGAGTCCATTTGGGGCCAAAAGTTTGAGGACGAGTTTAAGCCGAATCTTACGCACACGGGTCGAGGAGTGCTTTCCATGGCCAATTCGGGTCCCAACACCAATGGCTCTCAGTTGTAAGTGTTACACTGTGTAATTATACCCGTTACTCGTAGAGTCTAGTATATCCTGATTCGTTTAAAAGTATGTAACAGGCAGAAGGAAACGTATATTCTGTATATTCTTGATCAGAATCAATAGCCGAGTCGAACTGGCCGTGTCCGTCCGTCTTTCAGTATGAACACCTCGATCTGAGCAACTACAAAAGCTTGAATGTTGAGATATCTTGTCAATTTCTAACGCCCACAAATCGCAAAAAACTCAACATATCTTAATGGGATTTTGAAGTCCCATACCTCTAAATGTTTCTGGCGCAATTCTCTAAGTCGGGGAACTCGACTATAGCATATTGTTTTTCTATGCTTTTGCTAATATACACTCATTTCGTAGCTTTATCACCTACCGCTCTTGCAAACATCTCGACGGCAAACACACAATCTTCGGGAAGCTTGTCGGCGGACTAGACACTCTACAAAAAATGGAGAACATAGAGGTGGATAACAAGGACAGACCAATTGAGGATATCATCATTGAATCCTCACAGGTCTTTGTGAATCCATTTGCCGAGGCAGCCGAACAGTTGGCCAAGGAGCGCGAGGAGGAGGCGGCGGGCAAGGAGGAGATTGTCAAGAAGGAGGAGCAGCAAAAGCGCATGAAGGAACCACTGAAGGTGTACAGAGATGGCGTAGGCAAGTACCTGAAACTCCAGACAGTGGCCAAAAAGCCAGAGGCGCCTCTTTCATCCGGTCAAGCAGCCAAGAAGAAAAAACTGGCCAATGGTTTTGGAGATTTCACCAGTTGGTAAACCTTTTGCTTCACAAATAAAAGTTTTAGAGACAGTTTTAAAGATAAAAGTTATTCATAATTTCTCTTTATCGGTCGATTTGGTTCCACCATCTGTACGCTCCCTGTCCTGCCAGCTTTTTTTCATTTCCAGCAGCTTTTCCTGTCGCCTCCGCCGCTCAGTAGACTTCCTCTGCTCCTGTGCCTTGACTTGCGTGGCAATTGAATGCTCCCCGTTCAGATGCACGTCCAGTTTTTCCAGAAGAAGTTTACGAGCCTCCACACGGTTCTTGGATGCTAGACGATGTGTGTGACATTTGACCGTGATATTGGTGGGTAGATGGCGCAAAAACACGCAGTTGGAGGTCTTGTTGACAGCTTGGCCACCAGGACCACTGCCGCGCATGAAGGTCTCCTCGATATCGGACTCCTGAAGCGCGGGAAAGCGGGAGTAGTCCAAATTGGATTTGCAGCGCACAGCGGGCGGAGGCAGCGCCAGGAATCGCACCAGGCCTCGCAGCATCCCTACAGAATGCGTCCCTTCTTTAGCAGGGTCTCTCCACGCTGAAATATGGGGGTATTTTGTAAATCTGTTATGAAATACGAAAGGGGTGTACTTACTTTAAAGCTGAATTCCACTTCCACCGGATTTGTAAGGGATCGGTTGTCCCTAAACTCGTGGCGTACTCTTCCCAGAAAGTAGTTCTTATCGGTTAGCTTTAGGTGATTGCCGTAACGAATTAAATGCTTGTATAAACGAAGTATTTGCTGCCGCGAAGGTTGAACCATTTTTATAATTTACCTCACATGTGTGGCAGTGTTGGCTAACGCAGAACTATAACAGGTTGGCAGTTCAGCAAACAATCAGCTGTGGCGTTCTGCGATCAAAACAAAAGCAACAGCTAGAAAAATAATATTTCAGAAAAGAGATAAGATTAATAATCTTAAGTGGCCCACATATGAAATGTGTTACACTCCCTCAATCACCGTTAAAAATTCCTAGTCACGGTTATACACCATATTAAACTCTAAATAAGTAATGCATGTCATTTTACCATATCTATTTTATTATCTACCGTTATCTACCTGAAATGTCTGATTACTTTTATATCCACGGTTGAATAATCCATTTCGAATAATTACTCCTTTGCCAACTTGTCCACATCAATGCCGTCATCAATGGAGACTCCTGTCGCTTGGCTCAGCTCCAGCATTTCCTTCACCTGGTGGGCAATCTCCTTATCCACTACCTCACCACCCTGAACCATGGCACGTTCGGTGATCTCCTCATCAGTCTGCTGCAAGGCAAACATCTCCTCCGGCGAGATGCCCAAGGGCTCCACCAAAGTCATGAGGAAAAAGGAGGTTATGGACACGCTGTACGGCAGGAAGCGCACGTACTCCTTTAGAAGCTCACCGCGACTTAAAAAAAAACATAATTTATATCATGGATGATACTGTTTTAGTGGTATAAACGATTATCTTTTCTTATCATTTCGTGCGTTTAATGAGTATTTTTCAATTTATGGCTTGCATCTCTTACAAAGATAAGACCGTTTTATACAATCGTTTAACAACTCACCTGAGGAAATCCGGAACCTCCTCCTTAGTGCGCTCCCTATAGCTATTATGAAGCGCCAAGGTGTATTCACTGAAGATGGCCTCGAAGTGTGGATCACGCACCTCGGCATAAATGGACACGGCCAGGAAGACGGCGAGATCGACCATGGGAGAGGAGATACGCAGGGTCTGGTAGTCGAACATCATGATCTCCTGCGGCTCCTCCTTGTCATCGTACCTGTAGGCCACATTATTCCTCAAATAATCGCCGTGGCACAGAGTGGCCAGTGGCTCCCTGGGCGCCACCCGTTGCCTCCCGTATTGCGTGTATTTCGAGACCAGGAAGCCAAACTTCTTCACAAACTGCTCGTCGATCTGTGGCTGATAGGTGGCCACCGCCTTGGCCGCCCGATTGATGCTCGCCCTCAAGGAGACCTTCCAATCCGCATGAATGTTATCGGTGGCATAGCGTGATTCCTTTAGACTGCTAGCCAGCTGGGCAAACTTCTCCGGACTCTTGTGCTTCATGGCGTACGTAAAGGCATGGAACCGTCCCAGGTAGTTCACGGCAATCATGGCGTGCCGCAGACTCAGACCCACCTGATCCTTGGTGACCCGCCATCCCTGCTCCGCGAAATTCTCAAGAATGACCACTGCCGAATTCTCATTCAACTCACTGTAATAGTACTTGGGTGCGGCAAACTTCCCATCGGCCAACTTCTGAATCTCTGGCAGTATTTCCGTGTAGAAATTGATCTCGTTGGCAAAAAGGGGTCCAAACTGTACGGATGCATACATGTCTGGGGGCATCGCAGGTGTTTTCTACAAAAACAATTAAATATTGGTATTTTGGAGTCATTGCTTGTGAAGGCAAACCAGATTGTTAGTTTCTGTTTGCGGTGAATCTATGTACATATGTAGAATTTAAAATCATTATTAATCAATTCCTTTTGTTCGTGTTTTGATGTGGCTCCCTCTATTTCACAATGTGTGCCAAAAGGCCCCCACTCTTGGCTTAGCTATCTGTGTTTGCCGGAAAACAAAACTGGCGAGTAAGCAGTTAAGTACATACATAATATAGTTTTATAGAGGGTGTGTGACTATAGTAAAATTTATTTTTAGATAACCAAATGCTCTTATAATCAAAAGTTCTACTTTTGTGAATAGAATTAACCTACCTTAACGACCATTTTACGCTGGAACTTTTCCCCGTCGTATTCAAAGTTGATGGTGGTACGATAGCAAAAAGTTAGCATAAAGGCCTCCGAGTGACCGATCACATCGATGTCGATGTCGCCCACATGGAAGGACTCCACCTTGGAGTCGCTGTAGTTTTCCACCAGACGTCCGTTCCTGAGAATCTTCGGAAGAACCGTGTATCTCAGCCACTGCGTCTCAGCCTCGATTTTCTCCATTCCGTCTGTATACCGGATGACTGAATGATTGACGATCCCAACCGCTTCGCTTTTGGATAACGAATGAGCATGAACAAGTTCTAGAAGCTCATTTTGTATTCTCTGAAAGCTCAATCGTTGTTAGAGATTACACGATAAGAGGTCAATGTAATTGAAAGCTTTCTAATAATTAAAAGCGTTTTTAATGGCAATGATAAGCTTGATGCAATTTGGAATGTTAGGATCATACCCCATAACAGAGAAGCAATGATCAAACCATTCCCCTTTATCAAAGGCATCCATATATTTTAAGTCAAAATTTCCGGTTTACAACATAAGCGTTGCGGTTCGACTACTAACCAACTACCAATGGCCCTCAACTGGTATTTATTGAAAACGACCGGGTCGACGAGCAGGGTCAACACCTATGTTCGAAAGTTCACGGAAGGATCAGAGCGAAGCGGAGTGATGAACATGACATCCAAAGTGCAAAAGAAGACAGGTGCCACGATCAAGATCACGGAATTGGATAACATGTCATATATGTCCTCTTCCTCTCGGAAGAGCAACCGATCCGGTCAATTGAAGGTGTCCATGAATGGCCAAAACGTCGATGTCGTCTGTCCAATGCAACCCAGTTCCAAGCCCATCGAGAAGCCCGTTGTTCGGGACTCTCCACAAATGCGAGAGTTCTTTGAAGAAGTGCGTCAGCGGAAGCTCAAGGATTACTATCTCCAGATGAAGGCGGCTCAAAGAAGTCCAACGGAGTTTGGTCCGGTAAAACGGGATAAGAAGGATCTCACCAAAAACGTTTACTGCACGGGGCATAAACGATTGAGGATCCAAGATTGTGATCGGCATAGGGATCTCACCTGGTTGTGGAACTCCTCCGCCGCATGTCCTCACTCTGCACTGAGTTGTGGATGCAGCAGCGGTGTATCCAGCCACTTGGAAACTTTATTCAAGCTGCACAATATAAAATGTCTCATCTAAAATGTTTAATTCCCATTTTTTGGTGATATCTAGTTGGCAGGGACTTTGTTGATGATACATCCGTTATGCTCTGAACTTCATTCTTATTCTGCAATCCAAATTGTTCGTATCTCTTCGAATTTAACCCTAGTCTTTCCAAAATGTTTTCCGATCCCGCCCAGGAGTCGGTTGCCACACAGACGGAGGCACAACCGATTCCGGCGCCCATCTGCACCCCACTGCTGATGGTGGACGAGGATGGACGGAAGCGGTACTGCTACCATGGTGGAAAATGCAAGTGCGCCACTTGCGCAAAGATTCGGGCAGAGCAGGCGGTGAAACTGGACCAGGAGCTGCTATCCTACATACCGCACACGAAGCTACACCTGGAAGTTCCGATGCGGATGGCCAAACCGAAGCAGTACCGCCTGGAAGCTCGACGGGCTACTCCCGAGCTGGCCAAAGTTCTGCGGGAGGACCACGAGAGGCTGAGAGCGGAGTATCCAACATACTACCTTCCGGATCGGTACTTCGGCAAGAAATTCTACGAGCTGCCAGGACCGCAGCACAAGGAGACCCAGACGGACCTTCCAATTGGTCGCTACGGCATCGATGGCTGTCCCTGTCCCAACAAATCTCTCTGCTATGACTTGTAAGCCTGGGCAGGTTTCGATTGGGCAAGAAGGGTTAAATAAAAGTTCTGATTGTGAAAAATAGTATAGTATTTAAATAAATCATATTTTCAAAAAAATTCAATTTTTACTCTAATTTTGAATCGATTTCAGTATCTTTGTTCATATAGTTGCAAGGCGATTTGTGTCACTGGTTCACTTAGCAGATACATTTGTAGGATCTTCATCTTCAAAACAATGTTGAGTTGGCCGAAAAAGACCCAGTTGATGCTGGCCAGGATCGGTGTCCGCCACTTTGCTGACGAGATCAACAGCAGTGTGCGGTCCGCCTTCGTCAAGGGAAACGCTCGAACTGATCCGGTCAACGTGCTGCCCAAGTCCAAGTACGGTGGAATCAATACGGTCTCTTTGGTCACGGGCACCACCATCATTGGCCAGCAGGGTGCCCAGTTCGTGTCATCCCTGCTTTCGAGCAGCCGCGTCCCTGTTGAGGTCCAAATAATCGAAGCTGGCCAGGATGACGAGTACTTCCACTCGGTGCTCCGCAACAGAACTGCCGTTCATGTGGACAATCAGGCGGACGCGGAAGCCAAGCAGAAAGCGCTCAAGATTTCCAACGATCTGGACTTGTACGTCTTCAAGACCCGAACACGCAGTTTTCCCGGTTTCAAGTGCCGCTTTCCGGGCGTGGACATCCAGCTAATCGGTCAGAACAACATGGGCATCTTCAACGAACTGGAGTATTCCCCCGTGGAGGGAGTGGTGGAGGCTCTGTCCGTCGTCTCCCAGAAATCCAATGAGAAGTACCTGGAACACGCCTTTAAGGCGGCTGTGAAGGCGGGTCGGAAACGGGTGACGCTGATCAACAAGGCCAAGGAGTGGCCCATTAGTGATGGCTCACTGGTGGAAGCCGCTCAGCGCATGCACTGCAACTACGAGGACTGCCTGGATCTGGAGCTCATGGAGCTGGAGCCGGCCATCAGCCGGTTGATAACGAAGCCCAACTACTTCGACTGCCTCTTCGCCAGCGATCGCTACGCCACATTCCTATCCGCCATCTGCAGTGGAGTCTGTGGAGGAGCTAACCTCTTCAGTGCGGTGGAGATCGGAGATCACCATGCCGTTTTCAAGCCTCTCCAGACGAAACTATCGCTGACCAACTATTCCACCCTAAGTGCTTACGGCATTGTGTCCACCATCGTGGATCTCTTCCAGCACCTGGGCCACGAGAAGTGCGCCGCAGCTCTGTGGTGCGAGATGAAGCGCACCATGGACGAGGGCATTCGGACCAAGGAGTTCGGTGGCCACGACACCGGCGAGTATGTCATTTGCAACATCATCAACCAGCTGCGGTGCCGAGCATTGGATAAATAGGGACGTGTTGTCTGGCCAAAAGGTAGTTTGGAATTTCAAATAATATTCAATATAATCTCAATAAATTGCTTGTGACCACTATTCTGCTAAAATAAAAACAAACGTTTTAAGACTTTTACTTGAAATAGTTTTAACATAACAATTTATTTCTTTACAATAAACAATAATTTCAGTGGCCATTTTCAGAAGTTGCGACGTTTTAGGGAGTGCTTGACCTGGAGTTTAAGTTTAATATCAGGATTACTTTAAGATTAAATGGAACCAAGACAGTATATCTGACGCATTGGATAACGTACCAAAAAGTTTTGAGTTGCATTTTATTTAAATTGTGTTTGATGAACTATAAATATTGATAGGTTCGTCCAAATGCATCAGAAATACTTGGTTCCGGAGGTTTGGAAACTGGACTTTAACAGCCGTAACCACACCTGCTCCTCCTCCGTGCGCAGCTTGCTCTCACACATCTTCATCTTCCAGTTTTCCGTATAGGTCACCAGCTCCACCACCGTCTTGAATGTGACATTCTTCAGGGGCTTCACGCGCTTTAGAAGTTTTCCCTTCGCCTTGCTGCTGGGATAGTTCATGTAATCGTACACTACCGACTGATCCGCCACCTCAGCGATGACATCCTTGTTGAATCCGACGGCCTGAGAGGGATCCGTGTTCAGCTTGGGTTTGTCAAGCTTCTTTGGTTTCTGGCGCTGTTTCAGTGGGCTGTCCATGCTCAGAGGAGAATTTAGTGGGATTTTGTTGCTCGGCTATCAAAAATGTATCAAAACTTCAGTTGGGCTTGCTATAAGTCAGATACGAAGTGCCTGCTGCTGGTGTGTAATAAACATGATGTCCTCCCATTTGCACGTACAATTTGAATAGATTTATGTTCCAGCCGGCGGCTGTAAACAACTACATAAATACCGGAGCAGGACCTATGAAATGGTTGCGGGGGGTGGTAGGGCAATAAAAAGTCTGGCCAGAAGCGGAGCATATTTGCAGGCGCCAAAGACAAAAGCCACAACACAATTGCCCAGCATGTGGGCATGGAGGGCCCCCAGTCGATACTTTATCATCATGCAAATGGGCAATGTGCTGCTAACCATATAATCCCCTCCAGGGCTAATAAGTACGATGAGCGTATCCGCCGCACAAAAACAAAATCCAGCCATGGCAGCTAAAGGATAAACAACAGCAAAATTCCGGGGTGGCCCCCGGCACATCCTTGCCGTGGGCCATCTTGAGTTATGGCTCAATTCCAACAGGCCAACAGGAGGAAAAGACCATAGTTTACACGCACATATGAATCGTTATTTATTCGCCACTAGAAAAGATGCCTTTATTAAATTTTAGTCGAAATACACCCACACACACGCGCATCCCTTTAGCAGCACTCATGGTGTCCTGGTCATTGCTCCAGCTCGTTGGTGGGCCCGTGGGTCAGCTTGGCCCTCATGGAGCCGCAGACCATCATGCAGGTGAACAGGGACAGCTCCAGCACACGGCACATGCAGTAGGCCACCACATCCAGCAGGTGCTCCACCACTCCCAAGTACAGACACATCCGTGGATGGGGGATTCCGTAGGCCAGTGATTCCCTTACTTATTGCAGTTCCTTCCGCGCTCAACTCAGCTATCCACCGATGTGTGAGGTGGGTGCACTCCTATATCCTGATAAGCTTAAGCCTTTTATCGAACCGCCTGGCTAAGTTCACTGTGTTCACATGCGACCAACTCTTTTCTTCAAATGATAACACTGCGCTGGTCGGCTGGCCATATATATTTAATCCTGTTGCTGTATCAGAGCACGAAGCTCCTGTTCGTCCTCGTCTCGCGTTTCCCCACAAAACCGAGTGGCAGCCGAACGGAGGCCGCCGAGAGAGAACTTTCCATGATGGGGTGAAAGCCCAGGAGGAGCGGCAAGGATAACAAGGAGAGGGGGTCCTGTCCCAGACCATTGTCATTTATTCAGTATTCACACTTCAAAATGTTTCAAAAATATACAAAAAGTACAAAATACTTTAAGACATAATTTCAGCCTAAATCGGATTCGTATAATAAGGTTTAAGAGTGTTTCCAAACCTGATTGCTGAGTTGGAGAGGTCGAGGCAAATGTAGGGATACATTTGTATTTTTGTATTTCTTCTAGCTCATCTTAAATGATCTAACGAAATCCTTAGCTTACTATGTCTTATAGGCACAATACAACTTTTCTATACTCAGATTGCTAAATTCTTACTCAAATTGCCGAAAAAGGTAGTTTCGCTCAATGTGCAGTGATGGTGCATGCGCAAACTGGTTTTCAATCCACAGAAAAAGTGCCAGAGATAAGAACCCAAAGTAAGGGATATTGATAGCAGAAGAAGTTCTTTGGCTACAACACAATAGAAACTACTATGCACTTAGCATATATATTCACATGAATTTTATAAGCTTTGGAAAACTCATTCTTAAATTATTAAATATATATTATATATTCAAATGTTAAAATAGGAAATTATTTATTGGCTTACGTACATGTTGTTGAAACTAATTTCGACATTTTACTTTAACTTTTCAATTAATGAAACTAATAAAATCTTCCATTTCAATTGTATGTATTACAATTAATGAGTTGTAATTCTCATTATGAAGAAACGTGAAACGGAAGGCACTTATCAGGCATATTTTTCATAGCCACTTAATAGTAAGATCTGTTCAATTCCAGCTAATAGTTTGATTCGACAACTGGCTGGACGGCAATGCCGTGTGCCTGCCAAGGACTCAGGCTTCGCAGGACCAAAGGCAACCACTGAGGGCCCCGGGCATCGACCATATGTTGGTTCCTAACCGAAGTCGGTCGGGTCGGTGCAGTACAACATATGGTCACTAGACGCGAGCCACAATGCAGTTCGCCAGCGGGTTAATTGATGGCCCATGCCGACCAGTACAGTAGCTCATCCTCGCGAGCTCCGAGCCCCTTCCCCTCCCCATCCCGCTCCACGCGGTCGTGTGCCGTTGAGCGTGAAAGTCACAAATTATGGGCGACACAGAAGAGAGAGAGAGAGGGGAAGATCACATGGCATGATAGTACCAATTTGGCAAGATATGACGCGTGCCTGGCGCGAGAGAGATGGCGACAGGCGAAGTGTAGGCGTTTCACAAGCGAGCGAAAGGGAGGCAAGCACTTCTAACCCCTAAGTCACCCCTGCTCCTCGGGAAGATCCTTTGGCCGGGCTATGGTAATAGCTGCAAGGATCCTGGGGCCAAGGGTCATTTGCGGGCCATTTACACAAACTTGGTCAGAACGGCGGTGAAAATATTTGTAGAATGCATCTCGCGGGGGTTGAGCGTAGTGACTCTGGATCCGATGGGATCGTTTCAGTTGCATCGAAACTTTCAAGTCGGCCGGATCTGCCATGAGCTACTACTACTCGTCTGCCTCCGAGGAGGATGGCAGTTCCCAGTACCTGGGCAGTCCCAACTACAACTTGACCCAGTTGCCAGTTTCTGCCCAGGATTACGGACAAGGTGCCTACTTATCGCCCGAATGGCAATTCCTGGATGCCACAGGCGGCCCTCAAGCGGTACTAGGGCCCATCTCGGAAGTGCAGAGTCAATCCACTCAGCAGCAGACCACCAAACGACGGAGTAACAGCTCCACCGGATCGGACGCAAGGAAGAGCAGCCCAGACCAGACCCATCTCAGTCCCACGGTCCAGAAGAGGAGACGACAGGCAGCCAATGCGCGGGAAAGGAAGCGGATGAATGGATTAAATGCGGCTTTCGAGCGGCTAAGGGAAGTGGTGCCCGCTCCCTCCATCGACCAGAAGTTGTCCAAGTTCGAGACTCTCCAGATGGCCCAGTCCTACATCCTGGCACTGTGCGATCTCCTCAACAACGGGGACGTGGAGGTGGATGCTGCTGCATACACAATCTTCGGCGACAGCGATAGTGGATTTGGGTTGAGCGGCGGATCCTTGTCATAGATGCAGATTATAGACTAAAGTTATGTGATTTTCTTCTTACTGTAGATTAAGCTAAATACGTAATGAAAATAAATGGAATACTTATGAGTTAAATGCGAGTTAATTAAATGCTAAAATATTTTCAATTCCAAGGGCATTATTTATGAAATACATCGCTTGGCTATGAACCAAGTGTTCATGCCAATAAAAGAAAACAAAGATACTCATCTAACCCTTTTCACCACTCAGAACCAGCACTAAAACCCACTATCCCAAGATCCCCAGATTCAATTGGCCATCGGATCGTTTGGCTACGCCTCAATGGTTTCGAAAGCGATCATAAATTAATTACTCAAAAGTTCATTGATAGGCGTATGCCAAGTTTTGAGCTAACCCCGAACGAATCCAAAACTGCGAAGCCACCACAGTGGGCGGCGAAGCGTGACACCCCTGGATGCCTGGCCAGAACTCCTCTCATTGAATAAAAAAGGCAGCTGAGTCCTTCGGCTTCGGTTGGGTGCTGTTCTTTATATGAACGGGGGCAAGTATGTGTGAGGACATTACAGCTATGGATTGATCACCAATGTCCTTTTGGGTTTTGTGGGCGGCGTGGGAGGCATTGGCTTTGCATCGGTGTCTTCGTTGGGCACTGTGATATGCTGCACCTCCACTTCGTCCTTGCTGAAGGAGTTCTTCGAGGGCCGAAAGGCAGGATCCGGCGGATGCAGGACAATAACTTCTCGATTGTGGTCGCCAAAGCTCAAGTTTTGAAAGGGACTGTTGGTGAGTAGCAAGGTCCTATTCTCGTTCAGGGTGGGCGTATTAGCTTTGTGGGATGGACGAAGTACAGGTCTCCTTGGCCTTGACATTGGCCTGGTTAATAAGATGCGTCGCATCTTTTTAGGTGGATATACAGCTTCTCTGACATCTGGCTGGTGCGAAACCAAGGTGTTCCTGTGGAGATGCTGCTTGATGATGCCCAGCGCCGTGCTGGCCAGCACAGGTGGAACTCTAAAGGAGCCCAATACGGAAAGGCCCCCACTGGCCTGGGATTGCGGAGGTGGCTGAGATTGGGTCGCGGCCATCGAATCGTCCCAGGACATGCTCTGAAAGCCGGAACACTGCCTTGGGCAGTGCAGCTGCTTCACAGACTCCTGTCCTGGGGCCATCCGGTGGCCATCGGGTGGTCCAATCGGCTTCTTGGGCACCACGAGCAGGTACTGATGGTTGTTACCTTCATCCTGTAATTTGCAAATAAAATATGCGGCCGAATTTAGATCAAAGGGCAACTTGCTGTTGGCAGCTGCATGAGTTTCCATGGTTCTCTTGGCGGCGTTCTGGGAATGACTTCTCGTCGTCGCTCGTCTCTTGATCGGCTCTGCGGGCTGAGTCCTCAGCGCTCCTGTTTGGACTCTGGGGGATATTCCATTCTTGGCGCGGAGATTCTTCTTGACCGACGGCGAGTTTTCACTGGTGGACAATTGCTTTGCCTTGACTTCCTTTCGCTCCCTCAATCTGTTTGAGGCATCCAATGGTTTGGGAACCGTTGTCTCTGCAGATTTCTTCACTTTCCCAAATGACTCCTTCTTCTGGGCTTTGTCTTCCACTGATGTGCTTAGATTTATGCATATACTGCCAGCCTGATTTCGTTTCTCCGGCACGGTTAACTTGGGTTCATTGGGATCACCGGGTGCGTTGCAAATACAATCCTCGTCAGAGACTGTGTTCACATTACCTTTGTGGTTGGTGTCCTTGTTATCGTTTTTGGAATATTGACCTTCTTCTTCGCATTCACAGAAAACTACGTCGTGCCTTTTATTTCTAATGTCTTTGTCATAATCATCAGGATTCTTCATTTCTTGCATATCTCTATTTGAAGGAGGAGATTCGGGGGCTCTGTTACTATGTCTTCTTTCATTTTTTAGCGAATCGAGAGTTTCGGAACCTCTGGACCTATCTTGTTTTCCATTTTTGGTAAAACTAGATGACCCGCGATCATTTTTACCCGTTCTAGTGCTCTTCTTGGCTGTTGCGTGGGAGATTTCTTCATCACTGCAGAAGCAGTCATCCCCTAATTCGTACAGATCAGCTTCTCTGGAGTAGGAGGGACTCTTATTGCCTGTATTGCGATTTCGATTAGTATTTTTGCCATCCGACTTGGTATAAGACATATCCTCGCTCTCATAGTTATCATACTTCATGGCCCGATTGGGTCTTCTAGAGGATTCTGCTCCATTGTACTCCATTGGTACCTTTCGGTTTCGATTACTATTCTCCCTTCTAGGATAATCATCATAACCATTATTGGCGTCATATTCATCGGAATCGAAATCGTCACAATAACAATCCTCTGTAGTATTGTCATTGTTTCTGTATTTATTTTCAGTTCCGTAATCTCTATAAGGTCTTTCACCATATTTAGGAGGTAAATTCCTATCCTCCCTCCTGGAATACTGGTTGGGTTTTTCTGTAGAAGAACGATATTCAGGTTGATTATCACTATAGCGATTTCTATATCTTTTGGGTCCATATTCGGCGTAATCTGAATCATAATCAGCCGGAGCTTCCCTTCTTGCTTTCCTATACTCATCGTCTTCTCTTTTATAGCTTTTCGGGGACCCTTCATAATCATTCTCCCGCGATCGCCTTCTTGATGAAGATTCACTTCTATATCTCCTTTCATTTTTTCCCTCCTCACCATTCTCTTTAGAATAAGATTGATCGCGATGATTTCGCGACCTTTCCCTAATGGCCATATTGACTTCCAGGGAATCGACATATGGACAAGTGTCATCATTGCATGGATATCCATTATCATTTCTTTTGGATCCCGGATTCATTCTATTGCCGTGTCTAGAGTTTTCCTTTTCCCCACTATTTCTTGTACGACGTTCGGATTGGTATTTATTTTGTCTAGAAGAAAAGCCACCAAAAGGACACGTATCATCATTGCAGTTCGGATCTTCGGATCTTCTTTTGGATCTTTTAGTTTCTTCATTTGATTTTCTCTTCGACCTAAAATTATCCTCCCGGCCACGACTATTGGATCTTTCCCTGGGACCTTGCTGCTCCTCTTCGTAGTAAGTATTTCCCAAAGGACTTCTCCTCCTAGTCTGCGATATTTCCTTCGAGGTTTGTGGATCGTTCTTTTCCTCGTAGTCGCGATTTCTTGAGCTCCGAGCTATTCCATCTTCACGGTGCCTTGGTCTAGGACATTTCAAATAGGGACACTCCTTAGGATTACGACGATCATATGCGGGACACGCCATTACTTGGGAGTCATCAGTTTGAAGTTGAAAAACTTTTTGATTTTTTGATTCATCGACATTATCTCGTCTTCGTCGTGGAGAATGTGAGTCTTGATAATTAGAATAGGGGTTACTGATGACTCTATCATCATTGCGAGATCGTCTTTCTGAAGGACGCTCCTCGTTTTGATGGCGCTTATTAACTGGGCACTTATCATCCTCACATATATATTTCTTCTGGCCTGGTCGATCTGGATGCTCCCTGCGAGAACGCCTTTCATTTTCATAATCACGCGAAATCCGCTGCTGATCATTTTGAATCCTTCTTTGGTCGTAACTGGGATTTCCCCGGCTACCAATAGAGTCATTACCGGGGTCGTAAGATCTTCTTCCTACGTTGTTTCGTTCTTCTTGATTATTAGATTTTTGCATGTTCTTTGATTGAAAATCATCTGGCATTGATTTACTTTTCTCATTTAAAATAAGATTCTGTCCCGACTGTTCGGGCTTTTCTATTGCATCATCTTTTGAAGAATATGTCTTCACTGGATCTTGCGGTGGCAATGCTCTACCACTGCCTCTTTTCGCTGGCTGAAGCGGGCCAGTTTCCGCCGTTTCCTGATTCCAAGACTTTGAAAGCGGTGCCATGGGCATCTGGTATGGTTTTATAGGGGCATCTGAGGACTGCGCCTGTACCCACACATCTGTAGGCATATTCTCTGCATTAATGCAGTACACATGCTGTTGCTCCGGATACATAGATTGTCCGTAGTCATTGAGGTAAGTTGATTCTTCATGAGGAGCTCCTGGAGGAGCTGTTCGAGAATAGTTCGTGGGATTCTGATCGACAAGTTGCATTTGGTAGTAGTTTCCCTGGGTGGGAAGTACAGTATGATTGCAGTGCATGCACTGGCATCCATGGATATTGCAGCGCTGAACGTCTTGATTTCCTGGGTTCTGAGCGCAGTAACAACAGTTTTGAGCTGGATGGCTGGTGTTATAGTAAGCCTGATCCGACATCGGTTGAGTGTTGCTATATCGATCGTTGGGAGGATTGTTTGCTATGCCCTGCGAACTCCGATACCCATACCTTTTCTGCAACAGCATCACGTTTAGCCGATCCTCGCCAGATTGACGGCGATTGCTCGAACAGTCGCAGTTTCGATTTCGAACGGAGTCTCCATCGTCGGAATAACCGCCGTATTGGTTCTTTTGCTTGGCCAACTGGTCCAGAAGTCTGCGGCATACGGCATTGTTATTTCGCTTCCAGCTGCCGCACCCTGACTTCCGGTTGTCATCGGCTATTACTTTACGGAGCCTGGGCTTCCACTCTCCGCGTTTTTGGGAGCATAGTCTGGGACCTGGCCACCTATCGCTGCGCATTTCATTGCCGATGGCCTCGACGCCATCCCACTTGACCATATCTACATACACACCATTGTTTCGGGTTTGTGAAGCCCGTTTTTCTGGACTGTCTTTCGAAGAGCATGAACAAGGATCTTCAGTCCGATACTGGCTCCTGTCAGGTACTTGGAATTTGTTGAACTCATCCTGGGCCTGATGCTGATTAAACATCCTTGGTTTGGTACAACTGCATCCTCCGCCTTCTAAAGAGCTTTTACTTTCGACATGACGACGACTGCTTTGACCTCTTAGCTCGCACGCTTCACAGGGATCTTCGGCTTCCTCTGGCTTGCACCGAACACAGTATGCCGTAGGATACCAGCGATCATTGCCTGAAGTGGATCTTTCCCTATGCCCTCCTAAGTACTCTTCATTTGGTGGCTCAGGCTCTAAGATCATCTTGTAAAAGGTGTACCCGCACTTGGATTCACTACAACAGGGACTCAAGAGAGCTAGAGGTGATATGAATGTGTCCTCCGAAAAATTTGGTGGTAAATTTGCATCCTTCGTGGGGCAGTTAGCTTCCTCCTGCGTAATAATATTGGATAATGGGTCATAATTTAATATCCAGTGCAATTACATTCAAACCACTCACCTCCAAATTGCCCAAAAAATGTAAGTCCGGGAAATAGGTGTGCCTGGGAGTATAACTATAGCCCTCAAGCTGACTGAGTCGGATGGCGGTCAGCTCCTTGGAATAGTAGTTCCGCAAGCCGAGCACCTGCAGCTTCACCTGGTCAGGAGTTAAGCCGCAGTTCAGGCGACGGGTGATCCGTCGCCAAGCGTCTTCCTTCACAGAATCACTGTGGAATCCAGGTGACTCTGGATTCCAGAGGCACTCGTTCGATCGATACAGGCGGATAAGCTTCTGCGTCTTCTTTAATCGCTCCAAATTCGAATGCGAAGTAATATCCTTCTGTGCCATCTTGCCCCTCAGTTATCCACAATCCTCTCCGGCAACTCGGTGATCAATCTTCCATAGCGTTTTCCTATTGAACCTACAGAGGTTGGAGAAAACTTTTGTATGCCACGTTTGGAGCTATATTTTGCGCCCAAGCCGAAATTTTTGGACAGAAAAAACGAAAGTGATAATAAACAAAAAATGTTGTGAAGTGCTTGCCCTAAAAGATAAATTAAAAAATTATTTTCCGTTAACATTGCTAAGAACCACAGGGTGCCTCTGGCAATCAAAGCTTTAAGGAGTATTTATTTCGGTATTATTGTGCTGTTAACTGGCGATTGACATTTAGCTGGACAAGCAGAACGGTCACACTGGCGCACGGCAACGAAAATAATAGTCGAAAATTAAAATAGGTTTGAGTGCAACAAATTCCGACCCACTAACGTATGCGAGTGCATTTAACGGCTGCACTTAAACATTCCGGGCAAAAAAGTGCAAAAATAAGGACGTGGAGCAGCCAGAATAGAGGTCGCAGTTCCTGCGATATCGCCATTTGACCAATTCGACTTTTGTGTCTGGTATAACCACAAAATTTTCACTGCATCTTCTTATTTGAGCCGCCCCCAACCCAATTTTCGCGAGTCGGTAGAAATCAGTGGAGAATTGAAGTAAAACGGGGCCATACGGAGTTCCATAATCAGCTGAATCACAGTGAGCAGATAGTGTGGACGATAGTGAGTCGCTGATTATCCACGTAAACAGAGAGCTGCATGCGCAGAGGTCGCGCCCAGAGCTGCAGAAATCCAAAATCTCCGCCAGAAGAGCCATCTCCGCCCCGTAAGCAATGTCCGCGGAACGAGAGATTCCCGCCGAGGACAGCATCAAGGTGGTCTGCCGTTTCCGACCCCTGAACGACAGCGAAGAGAAGGCCGGCTCCAAATTCGTGGTCAAGTTCCCCAACAATGTGGAGGAGAACTGCATATCTATAGCGGTATGTGTTCCAGATCAAGAGTTTTGCTATTTTCCCTCTGTGTTATGCATTAATCTCGGCGTGCCGCGCCATGACGTCATGCCTATTAGCGTACATTACCCTTCCCCGAAAATTGCCAACCAATTGGAATGCCAGGCGATAAAAAGAGAGAGGCACCAAAGTTACCCATGAATAATTGCACAAAACAAAACTAGATACTTCATATTGTATGTATGATGTATGTATGATGAAACCAACTAACTTTACTCCAAATCAATGTTGCTTTGCACCAAATTGATTTTCCCCCGACAGAAAAGAATAGGGTGTGTAAATCGAAAGAAGAGCGATGACGGGGTGGAGAAATACCACCCACTAGACGGTTTTCTGCTAAAAGCGGGTGTTCCATTCTTTTCGGCCGCATAAATATGCGCTTTTCTAGAGTTTCCAGTCCGCCTTCAGTGCTTACCTCACTTACATTTCCACACAAACACACACACACTCGAACGGGGGCCCCTCTCCTTTCCACTCCCCTTCCCGCGCCAATGAGTCATGCACGCAAACCATACAAAAAAAGAGGGAAAACAATAAGAGCAACTTTGGAGGCAATGGAATTTGGCTGTATTGCTTTTATTCCACATGATATGTTATTGCTTTGTATGCTATGCTGAGTTTCCCGCTTTTCCGCCAGGTGTAATCCGTAATTTTCCTGGTAAATCTTGGGCAATTGAACCAGTTCCAAAAAAGTCAGCACTAATATAGTGCCGCCATACACAGACATTATCATTACGCTCTGGCTATCCCTCTCTCTCTCTGACTAACTCTATCTATCTCTCTTCCGCTGTGGCTTTCTTCTGGCGCTCGTTATTCACTATTCTTCCCCCTTCCACTTAACATCTTTTAATGCTCATAATTACAATCTGCTTCGCGGCCATGCGTTGAAAATGATTCGAAGGCAGTCAGCGGGAAAAGATCGGGGACAGGGGGAATGAATCTCAGAAAGAAATTTCACCGCAACTGACACTGGTTTATAGCTACATACATACATAGCTATGTACTAAAAACACAAAATAATAACCCTAATCTCCACCGTCTGCAGGGCAAGGTATATTTGTTCGACAAGGTCTTCAAGCCGAATGCCTCCCAGGAGAAGGTCTACAATGAGGCGGCCAAGTCCATCGTTACGGATGTCCTGGCTGGGTACAATGGAACGATATTCGCATACGGCCAGACGTCCTCCGGAAAGACGCATACGATGGAGGGCGTGATCGGGGACTCGGTGAAGCAGGGTATCATACCGCGTATCGTCAACGACATTTTCAACCACATCTACGCCATGGAGGTGAACCTGGAGTTCCACATCAAGGTCTCCTACTACGAGATCTACATGGACAAGATTCGTGATCTGTTGGACGTCTCCAAGGTGAACCTTAGTGTGCACGAGGACAAGAACAGGGTACCGTACGTCAAGGGCGCCACGGAGCGGTTCGTCTCCTCGCCGGAGGACGTTTTTGAGGTGATCGAGGAGGGCAAATCCAATCGTCACATCGCGGTGACAAGTGAGTTCTAATTGCAAACGACGAGGGTCAGGACAATTGCAGCCAAACATCCACATAAATAGCTTGTTTATAACATACAATGCATCCAATGCTTTTGTTCTGGCCCCAAGTTTAGTTTCATGTTCCAGAACATCTAATATAACGATTTATTCGCCCTTTTAGACATGAACGAGCATTCTTCGCGATCCCACTCAGTATTCCTCATCAATGTGAAGCAGGAGAACTTGGAGAACCAGAAAAAACTTTCCGGCAAACTCTACCTTGTGGATTTAGCCGGTTCCGAAAAGGTTTCGAAGACTGGAGCCGAGGGAACAGTTCTTGATGAAGCTAAGAACATTAATAAGTCGCTGTCTGCCTTAGGCAACGTAATCTCCGCCCTGGCGGACGGAAACAAAACGCACATCCCCTACCGTGATTCCAAGCTCACGCGCATCCTGCAGGAGTCGCTGGGAGGCAACGCACGCACAACCATCGTCATCTGCTGCTCTCCAGCCAGCTTCAACGAATCTGAAACCAAGTCAACGTTGGACTTCGGTCGAAGAGCCAAGACCGTGAAGAACGTGGTCTGTGTTAACGAGGAGCTTACTGCCGAGGAATGGAAGCGACGTTATGAGAAGGAGAAGGAAAAGAACGCCCGACTTAAGGGTAAGGTGGAGAAACTGGAGATCGAGCTTGCGCGCTGGAGAGCTGGTGAAACCGTTAAGGCGGAGGAGCAAATCAACATGGAGGATCTCATGGAGGCAAGCACGCCCAATCTTGAAGTGGAGGCAGCACAGACGGCGGCGGCAGAGGCCGCTTTGGCCGCCCAGCGAACTGCTCTCGCCAACATGTCCGCATCGGTTGCCGCGAACGAACAGGCCAGGCTGGCTACAGAGTGCGAGCGTCTTTACCAGCAGCTGGACGACAAGGATGAGGAGATCAATCAGCAGAGCCAGTACGCCGAGCAGCTCAAGGAGCAGGTGATGGAGCAGGAGGAACTCATCGCTAACGCTCGGCGTGAGTATGAGACTTTGCAGTCGGAGATGGCGCGAATCCAACAGGAGAACGAGTCCGCCAAGGAAGAGGTTAAGGAGGTGCTCCAAGCTCTCGAAGAGTTGGCTGTAAACTACGACCAGAAGTCTCAGGAGATCGACAACAAGAACAAGGATATCGATGCCCTCAACGAGGAGCTGCAGCAGAAGCAATCTGTGTTCAACGCCGCCTCCACGGAGCTACAGCAGCTTAAGGACATGTCCTCACACCAGAAAAAGCGCATCACGGAAATGCTGACCAACCTACTGCGCGACCTCGGCGAAGTGGGCCAGGCCATTGCGCCCGGCGAGTCCGGCATCGACCTCAAGATGAGTGCTCTGGCTGGCACAGATGCCAGCAAGGTGGAGGAAGATTTTACCATGGCGCGTTTGTTTATCAGCAAGATGAAGACGGAGGCCAAGAACATTGCCCAGCGATGCTCCAACATGGAAACACAGCAGGCTGACTCCAACAAGAAGATCTCCGAGTATGAGAAAGACCTGGGCGAGTACCGGCTCCTTATCTCGCAGCACGAGGCACGCATGAAGTCGCTGCAGGAGTCGATGCGCGAAGCAGAGAACAAGAAGCGCACGCTCGAGGAGCAAATCGATTCGCTACGCGAGGAGTGCGCCAAACTCAAGGCCGCCGAGCACGTTTCCGCCGTTAACGCCGAGGAGAAACAGCGGGCGGAGGAGCTGCGCTCCATGTTCGATTCTCAGATGGACGAGCTACGCGAGGCCCACACCCGCCAGGTGTCCGAGCTCCGGGACGAGATTGCCGCCAAGCAGCACGAAATGGACGAGATGAAGGATGTCCATCAAAAGCTGCTCTTGGCGCACCAACAGATGACAGTCGACTACGAGAAGGTGCGACAGGAGGATGCCGAAAAGTCGAGCGAGCTTCAAAACATCATCCTCACCAACGAGCGTCGAGAGCAAGCCCGCAAAGACCTCAAGGGCCTGGAGGACACGGTGGCCAAGGAGTTGCAGACGCTTCACAACCTGCGAAAACTTTTCGTTCAGGATCTACAGGTAAAGTTAAAGCCATACAATTGTTTTGGTAGTCTTTAAAATGTTTTTCACTTGTTCCAACAGCAACGAATCCGAAAGAATGTTGTAAACGAGGAGAGCGAGGAGGACGGCGGATCGCTCGCGCAAAAGCAGAAGATTTCCTTTTTGGAGAACAACCTCGATCAGCTGACCAAGGTGCACAAGCAGTTGGTGCGGGACAACGCCGATCTGCGGTGCGAGCTGCCCAAGCTGGAGAAGCGTCTACGCTCGACCATGGAGCGGGTGAAGGCTCTGGAGACAGCGCTCAAAGAGGCGAAGGAGGGCGCCATGCGAGACCGCAAGCGCTACCAATACGAAGTGGACCGCATCAAGGAGGCGGTGCGACAGAAGCACCTCGGCAGACGTGGCCCACAGGCACAGATCGCCAAGCCGATCCGCGCCGGCCAGGGTGCAATCGCCATTCGTGGTGGTGGCGCCGTCGGCGGACCATCTCCACTGGCCCAGGTTAACCCTGTCAACTCGTAGATCCAATCACCACCTGTCGCCGCCCAGTTCAGCTCCGCTTTAAACTAAACTAAATGGATTACGTTATACATACTTAACATAACTGATAATTGCCTTCGCTTAGATGAGATGTGTCGCGATCATGTGCAGCGCTTTAAATATACATACATATAATTTAATTAAATAAATGAAAGGAAACCGGAAATTAACTAAATTTTACAAGCCGAAAATAATAAAACCCACAGATATGTAAGGACATCTATATACGTTAAGAGTATTTATAAACTTTTCAAACATAAACCTAAATAAAAGTCGCAGACAAATTAAGGTCTCTTTAGTTTGATTCTATTTCCAGTAAAAAAAAGTATTGAGGATTATTTGGCTATTTGTTAATACATCGCCTGCTGTTACAATCGCATGTTATAACCTGTCCCACATGTGTTATGGTGCTCCCAATCGTCGGGAGAATTCACCACCTGCCACTCGTACCACACTTTGGTTGCATCCACGCATCGCAAAAACTTGATGGATATGGTCTGTCCCTCCCTCAGAGTTCTTGGACGCTGAAAGGATAAAAATGAAATAATATAGGAGTTACCAAAGGCTAACTAACAACTTCTCACTCACCGTTGGGAAGAACATGGGGAACCAGGAGAACATGCCGGCCGTATGGGTCAGCGGGTTGATGCTCAGGCAGATGTCTTTGTACAAATGAGTATCAAAGTATCCGCCGATTCCGTGCAGCACACAATCTTTTTTGACGGTAAACGAAACCACCTTGCAGCGGGTATTGTCAATCTTCTCCGCCCGATTAGGGTGTACGAAATCAAACAGAGCCTGCGGCTCATCAATATGGTAAATATTCTTTAGCAGCGACACGTAGCCGTAGTCGAAGGCAGGCACGGTAGGTAACAATTGGCAGACATTCTGGTGCAGCACAGCTGACATCAGAGGATTAATGTACGAGGTGGATTTGTAGGGTATGCTGATTCCATCCGGTTTGAGCAGCTTCAATGCTCCATCTAGGCACTCGGGCGAAAGTTCATTATCGCCGAAGGAACCAAGTAACTCTGAAACCATGATGTCCGCCAGCTCTGGAGGGGAAAAGTCTCGCATGTCCTTCGAAAAAATGTGAACATCTGAAGGATTTGTTGCGAATTAGGATTAATTTGTGCAAGTTATTTTTTGATATTCTTACCCTTATTGGCCCAAAGCGTTTTAACCATATTGGAAAGGGTGCGGATGGCATTGGGATTCTTTTCTATAATGTATAGGCGGACTTTGCGCTTCGACAACTCGGCTGCATTGAAAACAGCCCTCGCCAAAGGACCCCGTCCTCCCCCCAGTAGCATTACAATTGTCTGTAGATTAGAATTGACTAATGTTAATATATATCCATTATTTAGAGAAGAGCCCTTACCAATTTTGTTTTAGCCTCCTCATCGCTCACTCGATCCAACAAGGCCGCCTGAACGGCATCCTGGTAAAGCCTGTATTTGACTGGATCGGTTTCGAATACCTCATAGGTATAGGTGTCTAGATTTTCGCAAAGGGGCTGCAGTGGAATTTCCAGCATGTTTTCATAGCTAAAGGAGAATTTCTTGGTTGATAATTCACAAATCGATAGCTTTCCACCAACCTGTTTAGCACGTGCGTATCGCAGTTCTCATTAATTAGCTTTTTAAGGTAATCCGAGTACTGGGACAAAGCCTTATCGTTGGGATTAGCGGAGATTATGAGGTTGGCTCGCACTGAGATGAAGTGACCGATGATGACCTGCCACTCCTTCTTCAGCACGCAGTAGTTGGAGCGGTTTCTGACGAACAGGGACGATGGAATGATGATTGCCTCGATTGGTTCGCCCAACCAGCGACGCACTGTTTCCTTGCTGGGTCGATCCGAATCGTTTAGCTCCACCACTACTTTCACTTTGGTGCTGTGCTTGGTGGCCATGCGCAGGTTATTCCACCAGTTCCAAGGGTCATTGGATTCCGCCTCAGCCAACTCCTCCGCGGAGACATCCTTTCGGTGCTCGAAGGTGGCCAGTTCTGGATTGGTGATTGGCACTTGAATGAACCAGTTGCCTAAAGGAAATTGATCTAATAAACAGTTTGAGGATCCGCTCCGTCATCCAGATGCTTACCCTTCGTTTTGGCCCGCACAATGGAGGCCAGATTCTCGTTTTGTGGACCGCGCAGTCGTACCATAACGCTGCCCACATTCTGCAGGTGCTCCGCCCAGGCCACGTCCCGCATGAATACATCCTTCGCGTGTTGACGCAGCTTGACATTCGGCGAGTCCACATCCACATCGGACATGGTAAATATCACCTTGGAGTTCCAGTCACCGCCGCTCAAAATTGTGGCCGGATATGTGGGATCCGATTCGTATGGTTCGAAGGGCAACATATTGGCGTTGATTGAGATGGCCACCACATTGTAGTTGTTCGCGAAGGCCTTCTCGATCAACTTGGGTATGCTATTGACACCCTCCTGGTGCAGACAGACGTAGTAATTCATCTTTTGATCTGCACACTGCCTCTTTAAAAAACCCGAAAAATGCGGTGACCGGCGGCAGTGTGACCGTGTGGGGCGAGAAATCAAATGGACCGACTGGTGTGAACGCAATGCAATCGCTAAAAATCCCGAATTTTAGCCAATGTTGTTGACAATTTTTGTGTCGTTTGCCAATTTTTGTGTTTTCCCCATTTAATGCGAAAAGCAATAGCTTCCGGGCCTTTAATAGCATGTAATTGAAATTGTTCATGGCTAACCGCGATGTATTCTCAAAGATCCTGCCAAATGTCAAGTTGGGCACCCGCTACGATGAGGACGGGCGTGAAGTTCAGGTGAGTGCATCTCATCCTGCCGGGAATCCCCAGCTAAATTTGATTTCCATTGCAGGTGGAGCGTCGCGAGGACTCGGATGCTACGGCCAAGGAGCAGGACACCTTCGACATACTGGTTGCAGCCGGATATTATCGTGCCCGCATCAAGGGCTTATCCGCCTTCGATAAAGTGGTAGGAGGTATGACTTGGTGCATCGAGTGCTGCGACTATGATGTGGATGTGGACCTCCTATTCCATGAAAGCCTCTCTATAGGCCAGAAGATGTAAGATATTCCATTGATAAGATGCATAAGATCTATTACATTGCCCATATTCACAGTGCGTTGGTGGAGAAGATCGTGGCCGTTTTGATTGACATGAAGTGCCCACACAGTCTGGAACCCCATCAAGTGCAGGGTCTGGAATTCCTGGCCATACATCCCGTCATCCAGTGGCTAGTTAAGACCTCTGTAAGTAGCCGGAATAACGTGAACTTTGTACGATGTAATGGAAACTCCATATTTAGGTGGAAAACCGAGCGGAGCGTGGGCAGCGCTTGAAGAGATTTGCCATCGGGCAATTCCATAATCACTATCAGTACAAAAGCGACAAGGACAATCTCACTAAAATACGCCTGGCCTCCACAAACATTAGGGCTATACAGGATCTGTACGGCCCCAGGAGGCTGTACGAACGTCAAGAAGCTCCTGGTGATGATGATGTGTCAAGACTGCGCCTTACTCTTTTAGAATACGGAGACACAGGCCCATCGCTTAAAACCAGCGCTGAAAGAAAGGCGGAACAGGGTCCTGGAGAAAGAGATGAGGTGGGTCTCAGTTGAAAATGGGCAATATATCTAGTTGTAAATATATCATAATTTTCCAGCTCGATCTGGAGGAGTATCTTCGCAGTTTATCCCTCATCAAAGATGACTCGGCAGGCACTCAGAAACGCATTGATCTCGATCCTACGGCACGACAAGAGCTTCAAAAGCACTATGCTGAATTCAAGCTGGAAATGGAGACGGATGCTCAAGAGCTGAAATCACAAAACCAACAAAAACGGCTCGAAGCGACCAAAGTTGCTCTGGAACATAAGGTTAGACGTTACTGCAAGGATAACGAACAGCTAAAAGATGCTGAAAAAGAGCAAAGCCAAAAGACTATGGAAGTGGAGGACCAATTGAACACCTTAAATACTGAGTTCAAAGCACACAAAGATACACAGGATAAAGCAGATCCAAAGTGGGTGGAAGATTGAAATAAGACTAAGTACAGACTTTTAATTGAATATTTATTTTAAGGCTCCTTGAAAAGATACAAAGCCTGCTGCAACAACATGAAGAGCTGAAGAAAAGCGAGGCGGAATTCAAGGAATCCTGTCGCACTGATTTGGCCAACCTACAGCTGCAAATCGAGTAATATACCTATATTTCCGTAACGAACAAAGTAACTAATTATTGTTATCTTTTTTTTAAAGTGACCTGGAAGCATTTAGTGCACAAGACGAGGAAACCCAGGCTGCAGCATTGGCTGGTGAGGAACAACGTCTGAAGGAACTGCGCCTGCAGTTGGCCAAGAGAAATCGCGGAATTGTGGCCATTGAACGGAAACTTGATGCCATTCCCGATCGCACAGAGCTGGCCCAATACCAGCGGCGCTTCCACGAACTGCACAACGAAATGAGCGGCAAGCATCTGGAAACAAAGCAATATTACACACTGTACAACACACTCAACGACAAAAAGCGCTACATGGAAAAGGAACTGGCCCTCCTGAACTCCATCTGCGAAGCGTACAACGAGGGCATGATGAGTCCGCATGGCCGCGAGGACTTTATCCGCCAGTTCGAGTCCATCGTGGACGGGGTAAAGAGTGCCCAGGACAAGGTGCGTCACAAGTACAACGAGGAGCGGATGCGACGCGACGAGCTCAACGAGGAGCTGCAATCGCTGCTGGAACTACAGCGCCAGTATGCTCTGGCTGTCAAGCAGCTAACCCGCGAGTGCCAGCGCTGCGAGCAGCTGCAACTGCAGCTCAGGTCAATTAGGGGCAGGACCCAGTCCTAGCTCGTTTTAACTATTGAACTATTGATTAAACACGAAACACTCTTAGCGAATTCGTTCAATAAATTATAGCGCCCCAATAGCAATGCAATTATCCGGGAATCCAATCAAATGATGTTATCCAAGGATTTTCTTCGTGTGCGATTCAAATGCGCACATTTGTCAAGCTCAAGTTCAACCTTTAGCTCTTTCGACACTCATATTTCACGTTCCAACATATTCGAGTATTTATGGAATTCCTGTCGGTGCTGGGTCAGCAGTTTATTTCCATATAACGCTTGCATATTGTACTCCCACTGGCACCTAGCAAAATTTGCATATTTGCGTTGCTGCCGCCAGCACACTATATTCCATTCCATTTGGTGCTCTAATTAATATGCGGGCCGCTTAGTGGCATGCCGAGCAATCAGAGCCACTTCAGGATGCCCGTGGTGCAGGACTGCAGCTGCTGCTTGCGGTTAATTAATGTCCTTGCACCTTAACATTGAATTCAAGCTGAGCCAATGCAATTACATTTTATTGCGTGGCAATCAATTCCATTCAACAAGTGACATTGAGACGGGGAGCCTGAAAAAAGCGTTGGAATTACGGCCCACTTCCTGTCTTCGCCACTCGCCACTCGGCCTTCGTCCATTTGGCCAAGATGTATTTCCACCGCATGACAAATATTTAGAGCGATAGACCTCCGGCGAAGGTTAAACTGTAGTCCTTGACAGACATTTTACAACTAACTTTATGGGAACTCTGCTCCCGGCTGCCAGCGCCTCCTCATTCCACCACCAAATCGGCCTTATCGAACTGGATACAGACCCATATAGAGCCAGTCAGGCATTCCGCCCATCTATATAGCCGTATAAATATGTGTAAAGTGGGTGTTGGTGGGCGGTAGGTTGGGGGTTGAGAGGTTGGCAATGCCCGACTCTGGATAAAAGTGAAAGCCCGCGTTTCCTCATTTGTATTTGCTTTGGCATTTCGCCCCTGCAGCACACAAAGGCTGAATGGAAATGGATCGAATGGGGATTGATTGGGGATGCGACAAAGGGCCACGCACATGAGCCTTGACAAAAGTCAATCAGCATATTTGCTCGATTGGAGGGAGCATGCCAAGCGGATAATCGATTCGCAATGTGTTTGAATAACAAATTACTGGAAAATGTGAATGCGAGCCCTGGCCCCACCGAACATGGAGTACTTTTCCCCGAAATCGAGGGATTCAAATGTATGCAGCTGTCACAGTCGCCGGATTTCGATTCCCAACAGCCCAACAGCCCAACATCCTGTCATCTTAGAAATCACGATGCCACTTGTTGGCCTTTGCCATCTTGTTTGGTGAGTGAACTTGTGACTCGAACTATTGAACTTTGGGCTCAAACAATGAACTTTCCTTACTATTTGCTCCTTCCAGACTCTTCAGCGTGCACTTGGAAAAACTTTAGAAATGTCAGTTTTCTCATTAAGTTTTTTATGTTTTTGAAAATAGTAGAGAAATGGATTAGAGAATGGATTATCATTACTTCGCTGTAATGAACGCTGTTCAAGCTTAAAATAAAAACAAATATGAATAAAGAAAGACTGCTATTCTGCTAAATAGTAAGAGCCACGAATATCATTTAAAATTGGGGGTAAACGAAGATAAACCATATTTTATACTAATGCATGTTTCCCACAGTTTTTAAAGACTTTTTTACAAAATATCTTGTATATCCCTAAGCTCCTCACTTTTAAATTTGCTGAGTGTGATAAAACCAAAAGCAATAAACTGGGAACATACAGATGTTCGAGCAAAACTTTATCCCCATTGCAGCCAAGTAAAAGGGAGCAAACCAATGGGGCGAGCTCGACCAAATAATGTTCTGGCCAAGTTAAATCTAATTTCTGTGGCATGTGAATAATCGTGGCGAATTAGTTGTGTTCGATTTGGTCAGAAGTCAGTGCACCTATATTGTCAACAAAGAAAGTTGCCCATCTACATGGTAGCATCCTTCTCCTTGCAGGACAACATATGTATGTGGCAGACAAGTTTAAATCACGGCAGAACAAAAAGCGAGCACTGCATGCATTAATCAACTTCAGCAAATGAACTAAGCTGGCCCCGGGGCCGAAACCCAAGCGGCCCTAGGAATCAATGACCCTGGCCCCAGAAGGTACCTATGCCCACTTCCCCGCAATCCTCAATTTGTCAATGTGTCACATGATCAACCGAAACGAGTATTGGAGCATTGATTTAATTAATTTATGTTATATCCCCACGGGCCTGGCAACAGCCGACTCTGCGAACTCTGGCCAGGATGCCGGGCAGTTGGCGTGTCCTGCTGGCCTCCTACAGCATGGCATGTTCAACAGGTTGGCCAGCTTCCGTGGAGCGTAGAGCGCAGAGCTTTTATGCGGGAAAAGCTCAGCCGAGCCGAACGCAGCACACTCATGAATGAAAAGCAGACGGACGCGGACTCGGCTGCCATCAGCTTCAGTTTCAGTGTCAGTGGTTGCCTCTGGTTCTGGTTCTGGTTCTGTGCTTCTGTTTTCAGTTTCCGGAGCTCTCATTGCGCCGCCAACCGGGCTAGCGAACGTACACGTCGCGGACTCCTCCGTCGAGACTCCAAGCAATTAGGATAGAACGAAATCGTCTCGAGATCCCTAGCGCGGCTCCATTCAAACCGAAAAGGGACAGCCGTCACATTTGATTTGAATTTTAATTCAATAAAAAAGTGCAAAAGTAACAAAAAAAAAAAAAGTAATAATAATCGTAAAAAAAGGATATCGCAGCAGGCAGCAACAAATGTAAATGCCTGTCATTTCGAGTCCTCCCCCGTATCTGTGTGTTCCTCCGCTGTGCGGTGTTCTGTGAATTCGCGAGGCGTAAAAAATATTCAAATTTCATGTTGAAATTACTGCACGCATTCTTAAATAATCCAATGCCAACACAAGTGTGCAAAAAGTAAGCAGACTCGACTCAAAAGGCGACGCCAAGCGTTTGCTAATAGGATTACGCATCACCTCCCCAGCTGACAGAGTCCAGGATTAGCACGATCCACGCGGAGCGGAGTGGAGCACCCAGACCACAAGAGTACTGCACAGGATAGAAAAGGTACAGCCGACGGGCAACAGGCTGTAATCACAATTATTGAGCTTCAGTACGCCACACCACACGGCGTATGCGTGATTTTCATGCCCATTCCGATATTGATATCGGTGTGCCTAATTGTTAACTACAGCCATAGGACACACACAGAGCGGCGAATTAATAACGAACTTGGTGCCATATTAATTGGCATCCACGGGGGAGCAGGAGACATGTTTTTGGTGGTGCAGCGAGTGGTGGGGTGCTTCAAGAGGAGCAGTAAACTCCATAAATATCGCATTTTATTAAACAAAGCCCGAATCCATTTGCGTTATTGCCTTTACGTGCACGAATGTTAATTGAAGTCACCTCACCTTTTCGGGATGGTGCCAGGTCCACCTATCCACCCGTACCCACCCCAGCCACTCATAGCCCCCATAATCCCTCCCCTCCATGCTGAAGCCCCCACTTGGCCCCGCAACACTTATCATCATGACAGCAAAACCACCAAAACAGATTAGATAAGTCGATGGTTGCGGAATGATTAGCGCACAAAGGGGCTTTGCTTGTGGATGCGTGTATGTGGGGATTTGGTTGCGAATATGGATGTGGAGGTGGAGTTGGATGTGGAGGTGCCTCTGCAGGATGGGCACTTGTATGCGGGAATGAATATTCATAATGAGGCGCCAGTTACACATTTCCCGTCGAAGCATGAAAAGCAAATTACGCACAAAATAATTGACATTAGCATATTTTGTGCATCCCGTACATTAAGTGTATCTGTGGGCGCGTGTACATCCTGTTTTAGAACATTTCTTTCAACTTGGTTTTTTATTTTACTCCTCCTTTCGCACTCCCCCATCGTTTTGATTGAACTTGAAATGCTCCCCTGCCGCAGCCACATGGCGTATACGTGATGCGTCTGAGAGGATTAAACTCAGCTAGCTGGCGAATGGCAAACAGGGGGTGTATACTATAACATACCAAGTGTTCGAAGTGGGAGCACCGCTCCTATACATACATATTGAATAAACATTTTTTTTTCTTTGTGCTCTGTGGGAAGTTCCTTTTCTAATTGATCCCCCCAGTTGACAGGCGGAAATGGACAGAAGAGGGCCGCAGCGAAATTTGTTTTCAATATGGACATGTGTTTACTTATTTAGGACTCTTGGTCCCTTTTATCCTCGTCTCCGGCCACTCGGACAATCATAATCCTCCGCCAAGGGAGTGGGAGTGGGAGTGGGAGTGGGAGTGGCGGCGCTCACGATTCCATGGGGCGTAAACTTCACACGTTTCCCCAGTTTCGCTTTACTCGCCCCCATGGTGCCACTAAATCATTTCAAATAAGACACATCGTTGCAGAGGGAGAAATGGTTCGAATTTTGCTTAAAAATTTTGGAATTTTTGATGGTATTATCAACAAATAACGCAATTCCTAATAGCACATTTATGACTGTTGCATTTAATAGAAAGAACATAATTAAATATTTATTGTTTCCAACTGAGCTTAAATGAAGTGCAAACTAAAGTATCTTGACGTAATTAAAATATCCACATGATTTATATTCATAACTTTCGAAATTGGCCTAATGACCTATTATGTGATAAAATTCGAGCTCAATCTGTTTTGATTACAATTAATTTGGTTGTAAAAGACCTTAATGCTTTTTTTCATGTACACACACAGTAGGCGAAATTTATGGCTCGTTAGCAATTTATCCCGAGGGGTCGGAGATCGAGGAAAATTATGCCAGGAGCAGAACGAAAAGTTTGTCTAATTTTGAAGTTGCTGCCAATGCGGTTGCGGTTGCCTTTGAGGTTCGTGGGTTAATTGCCAAGATATTTCGCTGCAGGACGAGATCCCCTTTTCCTGCCACTTTCGATTGCCACGCAGCAGCGAAAGGAAGATGCAAACAGGCAAACAGGCAAACTGGCTTTCCAGCCACATTTTATCAAAGTCAATTCTTATCTGCACGAAAAATGTTTGCAGCTGAAGTTGATAAATGGATTTACTTTGATTTCATGGCTAAAAATCGATGCAGCCCGACTGTGGAGCTGCCACGCTTTGAAGTACTTGTGCTATTTGAATCTATTGAAGCCCGGAGAAAATTCGAGACAATGGACCCAACTGGCGGTCAAAGACTCGGAGACACACCCGAACCACTCTGACTCATCGCAGGATGAGCCAGCCAAGTGGTGCTGGCCAAAAACCAAAATTGCACTTAAAATTGAATGCTTGGAGGAGGAGCGTGCAACTCGCAGATAATCTATGACATAAAATCACGCGACAGTAAGCGCTGCTTAATGCCAGACAAAGGAGAAGGACAAAGGATGAAGTGCAGCTTGTGTATGTCCATTCGGATAGATACCTTCTTTGTGGCAGCCACTCGACTGGAAATTACATAAAAAATTTCGCATTGCCACTTCGTGTTTGCGCTCGTTTTGATTTTCAGCCATTGCATTTGCATTTGCATTTGCAAATTCATTCGCAGTCGCGTTTTCTTTTCCATTTCCATATACAGTGCCAAAAGCCCCATTCGATTTCTTTCTTTTTTTCGTGAGTCACAGCTGCATTTAAGCCACAAATGTTGAAATTTTTATCTCATCTGGCAGCTTGTATTTATCATTTGCGCATCATTAGCTCGCCTTTAAAGGGGATTCATTTTATTAATTTGCCATGCGAGAACTTTCTCTACTTGGACAGCTGCTGCTATCCCTTGCATCCTTGGAGCTCCTCAATTAACACCAGACGATGTGCCACGAGTTGGTCTACGGAATTTAGCTTGATTTGGATTTGGAAGTGGCTTCGATTTAAGTTGCCATTTTCTACGAAACAAATTTAAGTTTTTCCTAGGAAAACAGCTGGATTATTAGAGACACACGTTTTATTTATCCTGAAATCCTTAGAGCGTTTATTTGGAAAATGTTCAATTTAAAATAGGAAGCACTTTAATATTTTATAAAATATAGCTATATTTACATTTACTTTTTACTTTTTCAATTTGTGCTCTTTTCAACGTCATAAACATAATTAAGCAAGGGTTTCTCCTACAACTCCTACAATTTATGTGAGCTGAGTACAGACCAAATTAATGTTGCCAATTCACACTTTGCGCAACTAATTCAAAAAGTTACCCATATTGAATGGGCTTCCCGAAGGGCCAAAGTTTTCCAGAAAAGAACGCAGTATTTAAAATGTTTAAAACCTTAAGCATTTACTGCTCCTCTGATTACCTGCGGATAAAGTTTTATGCACCAAACCGTTTTCCAGCCAACCCTACATCCTTGCCTCTTACCAAATCCTCGTGTTGCAACTCCTACTCATGAGCAACGAGCGGGAGGCGTCCATTGAAAAATTTCTGTTGCCTATCTCGAGGGGCACTGTTGGAATTGGGAACCGCAGCCAGTGTGTTTCGTAAGCCAACAATTTTGCATTTAATTGCTTAATTGCTGCAGCACGGCAGACATCCCAGAGGCACAGGATCCTCCTCCCTTTCCTCCCATTGCTCCGTTTCCTGGCCACTAAGCGGCTGGCATTTATGTTAAGGTCTCTCCAAGTGTTTTATGGCCGTGCAGAAAGAAACATTTATGACTGCTCCGGTCCCCGGAGGTGCTGCCTTGGGCCTGTCGGAGCTGTCGGAGCTGGAGTGGGCGTGGCCAGAGCACAATTGCCGCCAAGTGGGCGTTTAGGCACTGGGGCCACAAACAACTTAAATTCTCGGCCGGATATGAGTGCAAAAGTTTAACTCCCTCCGCCTCCTCCTTGCAGCATCCTCCTGTTCCACCTCGTCCGCTCTTCATGGTGCTGATGGTGGTGATGGGCTCGTGCCTAGCGTAGCTGCATTCCATCCCAAGTCCAGACGTCGCTCCAAGCCAGCTATGTGGACGTACATGATGGCTGCCGCCCGCGGAGATCGGGTCAACACGATGATGTCCAACCGGCGACGCCCCGAAACCGAGTCCCCCAAATATGGCTACAAGTAAGTTGGCTTCCACTCGGAGAGCTCTGACTTATCTCAAAATTACAGATTTTTACTTTCAAAGTAGTAATTATAATTAGCATTACTACATTATAAGAACCTATGTGGTTAGCATGCTTCAACATTTAGAAAAGAAACTAGTCAAAAATACTTATAGGAACTACTTTGGTTCAATAATTGTGATAATAGTGAATCAAAATATTTCCTTTAACGTTCTGTTAATTTATTTACTATTCATTGATTCCCTTTCTGGAATAAAGTAAGCTTTTACTATTGCAACACGGAATTGCACCTAATTTCACTCGTCACTTAACCACCAGCCTCTCCAACCGTCCCATGTACCGCACCACCCGATTGGTGGGCCCCGCCTCCTCGGCGCCCGCCCAACTGCAGCTGCCCTGCGGCTCCCATCAGGCTACGATGGGCGCGGCGCCGCCGCCGCTGGAGGAGATTAGTGGGGGTCTGTTCGCACCCTTCGCGCCCACGGCGACCATAACGGTGGAGCAGGCGGCCACCTCGATTCCAATGGCAGTGGATGGCGAGGTCCACCACCTGCACTATCCGCGTCGCAGTTGGCAACGGAAATATCGCCAGGGGATTCAGCGCCGGCCAGGTGGAGGAGCCGAGGAGGATGAGGACGAGGAGGACCACGACGACGACGATGAGGATGACGAGGATGAGGATGAGCTCGGTGCTTCTGTTTGCGAGGATAACCCGGAGGAGGCCATTGCACACACTGACCACGGGCAGCAAAAACAGCACTACCAGCCAAGTGCCAGCGATTCCAGTTATGTGGAAAATGGCAGGAAGCTGATACAGGTGAGTTGCTAAACTATAACTACCTTACTTATCAGCAGATGAGTTCATTTAGTCAAGGGTGACTGCACCTCGGATATGACTCTACACTTTTTAAAAGCCATATCTTATTACTGTGAAAAGAAGTATTATTTTGCAACAATATATGAGTAGCTAGGAAAAAGTTAATTAATAAATAAATAACACGATAGTGGCACGGCTGCAAATCAATTTGCCTGCGCGGCCAGCGTGGCGTATGCGTAATTTGATACAAATTGTATACGTTTGCCGATAAACTATGGCCCATAACTGATACATTATGCTCTGGCTCTGTATCGGTGGCAATTCACGCTGTCCCCAGGCAGCAGTTCAATTATATGGAAATGAAATTAAGTAATTGCTTTAATTGATTGACGCCCCAGTCCTCTGGAGGGGGAATTGGCCCAGTTTTTCCAAGCTGCGGGCCCTGGAAACTCCGCATTGTCTGCATAGCTCCCCGCAGACTTGCCAAGCCATTCCAAGCCATTCCAAGCCATTCTATTCCGCTCCAGACCAGACAAATGCAAATGAACTGGGCGGACCTTCATAAACTTGACCTTGCCGTAAATTGCGTTTTAATTACTTCCTCTATTGTCACGTAGCCGAGGCATCGCCCCAATAAACCCTTGGGCCACCCAGCTGAATGAATGCCATTTTTGGCTACCCGCAGAAATTTTTATTAGCACGTGTCAATCGACTTGAAATACTCACGAAAAAAAAGAGAAGTGAGGCATAAAAGGCTATGGGGTGCTTTTTATGGAGTTGGGGTATTCAATTGTGGTCTAAAAACAGTGGGGTGATGAGATTTGAATGGTTTCATTTAGCGAAGTTCATTGTTCTTCTTAATTATTTCGAAGTATACTTTCTCATTTTTAAAACATTTCACTACCTACGACGATATATTTAATTAATTAAATTTAGTCCATTAAGAAGTGTCATCCTAAAATATGATATAATATAATATATTAATGCTGGCTGCGCTGGGATTAAATAATGAATGCGACAAAACAAAGTATTTAGTAGATAAAGTTGCTTTAGACTTAGGAAGCCCCGAAAATATATTTATTAAAATGAAGGCATTATCTCAATCAAGCTGTCACAACAGAAAATATTATTAGAGCAGCTTTATGCAAATTCCTTATAGGCATCTCCACTTTCCACTTTGAAATGCAAAGATTTTGGAACAACAAGCAGCTGAGCTGGTGTCCTTTGACTTCCGTATCTTTAATCTGCAACCGGCCCCATCTCGCCTTTCAAATCAACTCGCTTAAGTTTGCTGCACTTCTCGCTTCCCCTGCAATCCTCATCCTCATCAGCCAGTTGGAGATCTCTCATGTCCTGTCGGGGATAATTGCATTACTTAGGTTTCCTTATAAAAAGCAAAGAGAGAACGAGACCAGACTTATTCCGACCCGCAGGGCTATAAATAAGTGAGTGTGTATTTCGGTCAGGGGAGTTGGGTGCCTAGTCGGCATGGGGTGGACTCATCCACCCACTCCATCGACAGTTGGCCAGCTGGCGGATTCAGCAGGATACAGCAGAATACAGCAGGATGTGGCTATGGCTGTGTCTGGACATTGGGGCGAATCCAGGGGAAGCGGAGCGCCAAGGGCGACAACCAATTTGATAGATAAGAGACTCGAACTCGAGAGTTCCTTTCGCCTCCGCTCAAAGTGAATGAAACGGAGGGCAAAAAGCAGCAACACCGCACTGTTTCAATGTCATTTCATAAATGGCCACAGCAATACCAATACCAGTGCCGAGAGAAAAACGCAATGAAATAAATACAAACGCAAGGCCCTCAAAAAGCCCCCAAGCCCCCACCCCCAAAAGTGCCCTCCATTTCCCGGACTTTTCCACTTTCATTCCATGCCCGCATATCGTTGTGGTTGACAATGTCGATGGCGATGGCGATGGCGTCCAAATATTGGCTTGGTCGGTTGTTGTTAATGCTTTTGAGGTGTGTTCCAAGTGTTTGTCCAGCAGCAGTGGTACAAAAAGCAGCGCAAACAGCACAAACAGCTGAGGAAAAGCTAAGGGAAACCCCAAACTGCTGGCATTGTCATTATATAAACGTCCATTACTCAAAAATTGGGCTGGGAATGGGATGGGGGAGGGGTGGTAAGACTTTATAGAATTGGCATTGAAAATATGGCAGGTCTCGTGCCAATCCAAAATAGTTACAAGTCCTCGAGTTGAACAGCCCCGCCGGAAAAGCGATGTGTATCCTTGTCAGCTGGTCCGTCCGGTCATTCAGTCATCCAGTCCTGCCATTAAACCGATTAATGAACTCTATTTGCCTGGCCGTACCTGCGTGCGTACACTGTGCGAAATGGCGCAGCGCGTAGGCAAAAAAGACCAAGTAGTGTATCTAGTTCAAATACATAAACTATTGTCTGTATACTCAAATGAATACTCCTTAAAATGCATTTGATTACTAAAATATGGAAATGAATGAGTAAATGCTAAACACTTAAACATGCAAAATATATTTATGTATGGTTAGAGAAGTATGAGAAGCAGCATTAATGATGAAATAAGTGACTATAAGCGACACTTAATTAGGCCACGCTTTTTCTGCCAGTGTCGATGTTGGCTCGATTGTCTTTGTTGCTGTGCAATTTGAGAAGGCGGCAGGACACTCAACACGATGATGATGGCAATCGGAGAAAGTGCGGGCAGGACGGGAAAGGAGAAAGTCAGGGAAACGGGGGCGGGGTCTCGATGGAGAACGGAGAAAGCAGAAAGGAGAAAGGAGCGAGAACAAACAGCGAAAGTGCGGTTTGTCTGCGGACTTTTCGCTTAGTCAAATTTTTTTGCGCCATCGGCAGTTGGGAAAAAAACGCGTTCGCAGGCGGCAGCTTAGCTCGCAGGCAGTAACTTTGCAATAAATAAATTTAGTAAGGACAACGAACAGAAACAATGCTGAGCTCGTCAACTAATGCGTTCGGTAAACAATCGAAAACAGGGCTTAAAAATTGAGGCGGCAATAACAAAAAACAATCAAAAAGACAAAAAATAAAAGGCACTGGCAACTGCAAACAACAACGACAACTGGATTTCCATGTTGATAAGGGTCACTCCCATGATTCCCATGTAGCTTTTGAGGCCAAAACACAACAATCAGGACATCGGATTACACATTTTAGGCAGCATTAGTCAGTTTATTAAACGGACCTTGTTGTCATTTGGACTCCCGATAAACATCCAGCTTATGGTCATCGCCATCCAATCTGCGCCGCAATTTGCATAATTTCCCACGTTCCCATCGAAATCGCAATCAATATAAACAAATATACAACTAGCGGCTGTATCTACAACAGTCTAGTGATAAAGTGCACGAGTTCCGAAAAAGAAAGGGGTTAAAACCTGTGAATCCTTCCAGTGATAAGATATCTTTTAGCTATTATTCATCCCAACCAAAGCGTATTGAATTTCAACCATTTTCTCACCGGAAATAATTCCAAATCGTTGGCTTTTAGTTCAGTACAAAGAACACTAACTATTGGGGTTCATAAGAACAAGCATAAGTTAATCAGAAATTTGATATCAGAAAGCATTTGTTGAGAGAACTTAAGGTATGGGTACTGGGTATCTTTCTATGTGATATAGTGGTTTAAGTCAATCAGAAAGCCCATTAAATTTTCCTTCAAAAGCAGCTCCTAAACGAGCTTCATTTTACAACTCTCTTAGCTTGATTTCCTCAATTACGGGCCAGCTATTTGGCCGTTTCTAACTCGGTTTTTATGGTGCAACGCCTTGGCTTGGCAGTGTTCATATGGGCCGAGCATAAAACGCCAAGGCGCGTGTCATAAACGTTTGATTTGCTTAGCGTGGAGCTGCAGCTACCTGGTCAGGTGTAAATGCCAGTGGAATGGGAGATTTCGGCCTAACGGACTTGCAATTATGGAAATTTATTGTGAGTTCCACGCGACCATGCCACATGAATGCCAATCAGGGCGATGGTTGGATGATAATGCCAATGCTGCTTCGCTGGGTCAGTGTTTCGAATTCAAGTACAACCGAAGTGTACAAAATTAAATAAATATATACAGAAATACCCCGAAAAGCCGCTCGAATTTTGTGCATAACCTTGCAATTGGCGAATCGCAATCTGATGATAAAGATGATGATGATGATGATGAGCTCATTGAAAATCAAAACTATCGACTGACTAGCTGGCAGGAAAACTAAGCGATCTAACGCAGCGGCTATCCGTCAGATTAATTGCAATTAATTTATGGCCAACGTAGGAGCAATGCGTCGCCTTTCAGCCTAATTGAAACCGCGTTGCCACGGCCAATTAAAAAGCATTTAGACGAAAACGACAAGCGCCGGCCGGCATCATCAATCTTGTCGATTCACTTGCCACTTGCCGCTTGCCGCTTGCCACTGGATGGCTTCGTGGCACAGCTGAAGGACCAAAGTCACTTGAGATTTCAACTTCATCCGAGGCGTCGACGGTGCAAGTTAATTAATTAAAACGCGGCAGCGCGATGAGCGGCGATGCAAATTAAGAAAATTGCAAAACAGCATTCCGAATTGAATTGACAACGCCAGCTAGCAAACAAGCCACACGCTTTTTACTACTGTGCGGTACAGTGGGACTTCTGTAACGCAAACTAAACAACTTGAAGAAGCGTATTTCATTTGATCTATAGCTTGTTCCTTAAAAATAACAGATAGCCATTAGTGTGAAAAGTAATTAGACTAATTGAAAGCTAACAGTTCGCGTTGCGCAGGTTCCACTGTGGTTTATTGTGTATGGAAGTCGTGGTTTGGTCAGTGGCGACTGCGTCGCCGGCGTCGCTGCTTCGCCTTGGCCAAGTCGTGTGTTTTGGCGGCAGTTATCAGTGTGGGCAGTGTGAACAGTTCGAAAGGTCCGCTCGACGCAACGCAGCGCATGCGCGCCGCTCTTGACCAAAAACTAACCGTTATTGCCGCCCGTTATTGTTATTGCCGCAGGCCCAAATTGGAAGTTCTAAGGTGCAAGTGGGACGGCAATTTTCGCCAGTTGAACGAGAGCAAAGAGCGATTCGATCTGTATGCGACATTTCAAAGTCAAAGCCATGGTGCAGTCGCTGGATATATCCGCCATAACGGGACAGCAAGCAGATGCGGTAAATCCACCTTCTCACGAACACACGCACACACACACTCACACATGCACGGAATAGGTGACCTTCGAACCTACTTACACACACGCACGCAGCGGGGGGCGTGGCATTGCATTGTCATTTGCCATTCGCCATTCGCCGCTCAACGAGGCGTATGCGTCATATTTTTCCCGTTCATCCCCCGCTCTTCCCGCTTTTCTCGAACTAAAGATGGCTTAATGGATTAACCGCTGCCGGCAACTGATAAGCGTTTATTAGACTGTCAAGCACACGCCCTTTATGCACAGAAAGTGGGTGGGAAACTGGAGCGCAGGAATCTTGGAACGTTTAGACCAGCTACACTCCTGGGGAGCATTTGCGTTTTATCTGATGAGTCCTTCAATGCGATCAGTAGTCCTTTAAACACGAGAGCACCAATGAATATTGAAGCACTTTATTGCACAAACCAGAGAAATGTTATAATTTTTATGCACTTTGCTTGTTTTTATGGTTTTTAAGTACCGCTGAAGGAATGTTAAATTACAACTTAAGGTAGTAACTAGAGTTTTAGTGCTGATTTCTTGCGAATAAGCACTAGAGTGCTTACCATTTTCGTTAATTTCTTAGCAGACAGCATGAAATCTGTACTTTATTGGTTTTCCATTTGGCTTTAAATACTTCTGCCGCGTCATTCCGCTGGCAGACATAACATAACAAAATTTAAGCACCAAACTTGGAAGCTGACCAAGTTTTAATGTGGTTAGAGGGAGAAGAGCCAGAAAAATGAGATACCCATAACCCGAGCACTAAAACGCTTCAATTAGCGAACGTTCGGCGAAACTTTTCCCAAAGCGAAACTTACGCCAAAACGTCACACCCTTGAGCCACACACGGGTACACAGAGAGAATTGCTGGCTAATGTGCAAATGGTAATGTCTCAAAATAGAGAAGATACTTCGCATATATCCATTCTGAGAATATTTAATTTCCTAAACATCAAGCGTAAATTCTTTCAATTAACTATTTATTTCTGAAACACTTTTTCCCTGTGCAGGAGCCAAGTAAACGGGGCAAACCCTCCGCTTTAAGACGCACTCTGCAGGCACTGCGCCAGCGTCTGACTAAAAGGAATCGCCCCAAGCCGCCGGACTGGTTCCTCGAGAAGTTCTCCAACACCACCAACACGGACAAGATTGGCAAGGGTTGTCCGGCGATGGAGGATGCGGCGCTCTCCAGCGAAATTCGGGGCTCCAGTGTCCTGTGCAACCGACTCTCCGTCGATCCCACCCTGCAGTCCCATTACAGAGTGAGTGGCCCCCAGCACAAATATAAACTTGCCACTTTACCATGCTTGATTCCACCTTATGGGTCTTATTACTATAAATGAGAAAGTTGGAGTACAAACAAAATCATTTACAGACATTACCAATTATTTGCTAATAATGGATAAAATAGCTTGGGCACAATATAATTAAATTTTAAGACATGTTCTTTAAGAAAGTAAAGGCTTACAGCTGGACTGTAGAACAAACTTAAATTAGCTTTATATTTGCCTAAATGTATGCAACGAAATATTTTCTACCTACAAACTCCTTCTCTAGCCGTCTTAATTGGTAGCTTGCAGTCTATAGGCTCATTAATTGCTAATTTAAATCATTATTGAATTACTATAAATGCATAAATGTAATCATTATATTTGACTGTGTACATTATTTCAGTGGCTGGCCATCGTTTCACTGGCAGTGCTTTACAACATCATCTTCGTGGTGGGACGTGCGGTCTTCTGGGAGATCAATAAGAGTGCACCTGCCGTGTGGTACACACTGGACTACCTGTGCGACTTCATCTATCTGCTGGATACGCTCGTCCACATGCACGAGGGTGAGCCACTGACATCCACATCCACATCCGCATCCCTCCTCCCCGCTACACGTTCCCCTTTGGGGGATCTAGATTTTACCTATGCAAATGAGACCCGCAGTAAGCCGCCTTCAGACAATAGCAAGCTATGCTGTCGACAAAGCCATTTGGCACGCATGCGAGTCCCATTTCTGTCCATGATTCCACAAACACACACACACACACACACTCACATATGCAGGCGAGTCCTGTGAGCTCTGGATTGTGGGTGTGGTCGGGCTGCCAAATGCAGGGGATAAGCCAACCTTGACATTTTGTACAATAACGAACGCTCTGGTACCGCTTAGTTTCAAATGCTACTCCAGCAGGGTGTTCCTCATCTCAGCAGGGGAATGTGACAGGATGAAGGATATATGGGGATTTATTACATGATGGTACGAGGAGTTGAAGCTAGTTGTCCTAAACTTTTGCGGGCTGTATCAAAGTAACTTTGCCAACTGAAATCAATACAAGCGAATCATCAGAAGATTATATCGCTGATTTCTGACAGTTCTATACAGTAATTTATGTTTTCAAACAAAACGTAGATAATCTCAAGCTGGTGATAGCTTAGGGCGCACGATTTCCCAGGGTACTACTGTGCCGTTTAAAATCGAGAGAGCAATAAAAAACAGTCGCCACATGGCGCTGCCAAAAGCCACGAGTGAGACAAAGCCGGAGTCACCACACGGAGCAAATCTCTAGGTCACCTCACAGCCACAGAACTATGTAAATCCCATTGTTTCCGCTCTCATGCTCCGCAGGATTTCTGGACCAGGGTCTCCTCGTGCGAGACGCCTTTCGACTGCGCCGGCACTACTTCCACACCAAGGGCTGGTACCTGGACGTGCTGTCCATGCTGCCCACGGACTTGGCCTACATCTGGTGGCCACCGGAGACCTGCTCCAGCCTGTACCTTCCGTGTCCCGTCATAGTGCGTCTGAATCGGCTGCTCAGGATCAATCGGCTGTGGGAGTGGTTCGATCGAACGGAGACGGCCACGGGATATCCGAATGCCTTCCGCATCTGCAAGGTGGTGCTGGCCATCCTGGTGCTTATCCACTGGAATGCCTGCATGTACTTCGCCATCAGCTACGAAATCGGATTCAGCTCGGACTCGTGGGTGTATAACCTGAATGGAACGCGGAACAACACGCTGCAGCGGCAGTACATCTATAGTTTCTACTGGTCCACACTAACACTGACCACCATTGGCGAGACGCCCACGCCGGAGAACGATGTGGAGTATCTGTTCGTGGTGGCCGATTTCCTGGCCGGAGTCCTAATCTTCGCCACCATTGTGGGTGAGTAGTCATCAGTGAGTGGGTCATTACTGGGTTGATAACCGAGAAAATCCCTTTCGGGCTCCCTCGGTTTGCTCGTGTTTACGCAAAAATTTCGCCTGATCGTTTAATTGGTTCCAGAGTGACATCTGTGACATCAATGGGTATTAATTTACAGCCACGCACGTCAAGGACCCACACGTACACCCCCGACCTTCGCCACCACCGACCCACCGACCCACATTATTCATTACGCCTTCAGTTGTGTCCTCCTCGGTGGTTCCATGCCATTTTGTTTTGTTTTGCCGGGTTGATTTGTAGCCGTCGCCATCTCCCGCCCATTCCCATTCCCACTCCCATTTTTTTTTTTTTTTTGGCAAACGTGCCTTTTTATCATTTTTGTCGTCCTCCTTATCGCCGCCATTACCGTTCCCCGAATGGGCGGCGGTGTCAAGGAGTAAGGCACATTCCCGCATTCCCAGCAGCTGCCAGACTCCCAGATCCCCATCATTTGACTGCCTCATCCTCGACCTCGCTCTGCAAACAAATTTACTTACTGTGATGAATGCCGAGTTCGTTTGGACAGGACAATTTGACGGGCACACTCGAAGAAATGGATTAATATTACCAGGAAATTAGGCGGGAAATCTCCAAAGCGAAGGATCATGGATCCTCATGAGCTAATATACCTACAAGTGTTTGAGCAGATATGTATATTACATAGAGACTGGGTTTCAATAGTGGTGTTGGTTAAATGTATAATTAGAGGAATCATACTTATTGATTTGAAATCAACTATTCAGACTTTATATTTTAGATTCGCAACTTCTTTAGAACCTTTAAATTGCATTTCATTTTTGCTGTCCTAAGTAAAGCTGTTCATAACAGACGATTTGCATTTAATAGCTCCGTATGGTACTCATTATTAATTATTCCTGTCAAACATTTATGGAAGAGAAAAATGTGACTCGATTCATTAGGTCCTGAAAGTCTACAAAGTTAGATTTAAATTATTCCTGCGTTAATTCCCAGCTAAGGATTTGTTTTTCGCTGAGTGCCTGAGGCATCTCCGACATTTCGGCGAACTGTGCATGTGTGTGTGTTTGACTCCGGCACCGGAAGTGCCGCCATTAGTCGCCTTTGTGCCACGTTATCCGCACGCCGGAATCCATGACTAAAGCATCGGCCAGCTTCGGTTTCACTGCGCCCCAAGTGGGCGGGCGAACCGGTTATGAAATGGCCAAGATGAATTGCTGCCGCTCCACTTCTTCATTAACCAAGTTTCCGCAACCCACTTTGCCCATTTCCAGGTAACATTGGCTCCATGATCTCCAACATGAATGTGGCCCGCGTGGAGTTCCAGAACCGCATGGACGGGGTCAAGCAGTACATGGCCTTCCGGCGCGTGGGTCACGAGCTGGAGGCCCGGGTGATCCGGTGGTTCGCCTACACCTGGTCGCAAAGTGGGGCTCTGGACGAGGAGCGGGTGCTGGCCGCCTTGCCGGACAAGCTGAAGGCGGAGATAGCCATCCAGGTGCACATGGACACGCTCAAGCAGGTGCGCATCTTCCATGACACGGAACCGGGTCTTCTGGAGGCGTTGGTGCTGAAGCTCAAGCTGCAGGTCTTCAGTCCGGGCGACTACATCTGCCGCAAGGGTGACGTGGGCAAGGAGATGTACATCGTGAAGCGGGGCAAGCTGTCCGTCGTCGGGGATGATGGCATCACCGTGCTGGCCACCTTGGGGGCCGGATCCGTGTTCGGCGAGGTTTCCGTGCTCGAGATTGCGGGCAATCGGACGGGCAATCGGCGCACCGCCAACGTGAGATCCCTGGGCTACTCGGATCTCTTCTGTCTGGCCAAAAGGGATTTGTGGGAGACCCTGTCCGACTATCCGGAGGCCAGATCCACGCTCACTCAGCGAGGATGCCAGCTGCTGCGCAAGGATGGCTTACTGGATGAGCAAATATTCGCCGGTCAGTTCAATTTGTAAAATGAATCATCAAATATTACGTATACGTCATGTTGTACACATTGTAGACGGGATTTTGTCTGTTTACCCTGCACTTCTATTATTTGAATTATAATTTTAAAATAGCAAAATTACACTTAATATTTCAAATTCAACATAAGCTTAATTATATTTATATGTATATTTAACTAGAAGATAGATTAAATGCCTACCGATTTCGCTTCCAGATTCCCAGAGGGTGCACGACAGCATCGAGGGCGGCATCGAGAAGCTGGAGCTCTCGGTGGAGAACCTCAACATGCGGCTGGCCCGCCTCCTGGCAGAGTACACGGCCAGCCAGGCCAAGATCAAGCAGCGCCTGGCCAAGCTGGAGATGAAGTGAGTATCTATGGGCATGCCATACCACCTAGGACTTACCCCCCATCCTTGAACCCCCACCCCTGCTTCCAGTGGCGGCCCTGGCACGTGGCGACTGGAGTGTGAGCCCCAAACTCGGGCTCGCAGCGGACGCCTCTATTCGCTGCAGCCCAAGCGGCGCCCACGTTCGCGACCCGACGCGACTGCCAAGAGCAGCGATGCTGCCAAGCAGAACACGCTCTAAGTCGCCGGAAAACCCGCTGGAAAAGGCTCGGAACCTCCTCAGTAGCCTCCCCAGCAGCCTGCCCCTCAGCCGTCGCCACTTCATATCTACAGCCGAGGCCGGAAAATAGTGATAAATGCATTAAACTTGCAGGAGTTGTCTGGGCGGGGAGCTAACCCTTTTTGGCCCGCAGCCAGCAGTTTTTTGGGCTACAAAAGCGGGTAAATCAATTTTTAATTTTTACAATTAGTCTCTAGAGCTGAGGATAAAAGGGGGTGTAGAGTAGTGCGCGGGGGTTGTTTGTTGCGAACTTTATAAATGAAATTTGTTAAATGATTCAAAACTGAATGTGCCTCAAAAGTGTGTGCGTGTGTAAGAGTAAACTGGGTAGATTGGGCACCAGCCCACTGACCCATCTGGATTATCCCCAACCACGATTCAGTGTACATAAGTTAAGCATAGTCCAATTTTACACACCTAGGCTAGGATGATTTTTACACACACCGAACCTTGGATTTGGCGCACCAAGCAACAAACAGACAGATCGCGATGAGGAACATTTCACATTAACTGACCAAGAACCGAAGGACATTGCTGAAATAATTAAAACGGGCGGGGGTGATGCACACAAATCGAATTCGAAGAAAGAAAATGTTAACAACCAAGCTTCCAAAGCTTCCAAACCAAACGCAAAACAATGGAAACAAATGCAACAAAACAAATGAAATGTATTTTTATATTAGTCCTAGACATTGAGTGTACGATGTATTGTCTATGTGTAAGTAAATCCAAAGCTAACGCAACAGAATAAACGAGAACCGAGTCAAATTATTCGTAGCACTTATGTCAGCGAAACTCGCATCCGCCGCAAGTCTTGCCCCATTTCTTTTTTCCAGGCGGCACATTAATGCAAATCGCCCACAGCCTCCGGCCACGCGTGTTTTTCCAAAGGATTCTCTTCGCAGGATTCTTTTTACTGGCTCTAATGACATCTTCGAAATGGGAACCGTGTTCGCTCGGCACCAGCAACAAAGTCAATAAGTGCAGACGCATTGGGGAGAATGACAGCGACACGCGTTGGCTTTTTAGGTGCGATTCTCCTTCTTTGTGCGTACAACGCGGCGTATGAGCAATGCCAGTGCCAGTGCTAAAAAGGTAAAATGGGGTAGCGGAGCTGTTACCTGGCTGAGGGTGCCGATTCTACACAGAGAAGTATGCGCAATACTAAAATATTACAGGTTGCATAGTCAACCTAATTATTTATTTTAATAAATTATATGTTTAGTGCACTTAATTAGAGTGCATGAGCAAAGTTTAAATGGCTGGGAGACCTAATTCAGTGTGAAGTAAACTAATTTTCCCACTGTGTACGGCACACGGAACCATGTGGAGCCATGTGGAACCCCAAAACGGTCGCATCATGCCGTAAGTGCAGTAAAAAATCAATTTTGACAAAATGTTGAAAAACACACTCAAAGCCTTACAAAAAATGGAAATAAGTGTAGGCGAAGTTTGGCCCCTGGTGAAAATCTCTTGGGCGGTGGGAAAGGGGGGCGTGGCACGTGAACGGAACCGATTGCGCGGGTGAGGGGGGCTGGCGGGGGGTGTCGGAAAATGACTGACAATAAAATGTTGACGCAGCCAACGAGCATTATGGATACAGGGTGCTCGAAGGCGATTGGATTAAGTCGACAAGTCCGCGGGTGGGTGGCTCAAGTGGCCCCACTCCAAGTACTCCATTTCACAATAGCACTGGGGATACCTGCTGTTCGCTGCTGGTCCTTATTGGAGGCGGGAGACCCATATATGGCTTAAGCTGATTGATGCCGAGGGTTTTTCAATTCACACATCACACACCTGCGTAAAATAAATCCTAATGTGTGTGGCCTGATGCTGATGTTGGTTGGTTTAAGTTTATGGAAACGAGTAGGTGAGCAGTTTCACTTCAAGGATGGTCGCATTACAAAAATAATGATAGCAGTGTCAAAACCTATTCGTTGTCTAAAGTATTTCGATTTATTCATCATCGCTTTTGGAAAAGCGTCTCTAGAGTTACATAGTGAATAGGGTCATGTCAGAGACAGCCCCGAAACCAAGTGATATGCAATCACTGCGCTGTTTGCACTGCATGAAGGTGATCCGATGCTCCCGCTACGATACCAGTGAGCTGGTGCGCCACATCGAGCAGGATCACCCGGACGTATACGCAGTGACCACGGATAAAATCAAGAATCTGCACAAGCTGGCCGCGGATCACGGCATCAGTGAGGAGCGCCTCTCAAAGATTAGCAAGATGACGGGTCTGTCCGAGTCCCAAATGGCTGAAGAGGCAGAGAAATGTGAGTTACTCTCCTCGATTTCCCGACACCTTAATTTCTTTACACTTCCCTGGATAGATATGGCCAAAAAGAAGAGATCCAGTCGTAGTGGTGGGTCTGCCGCCGGTGACCCTGCTGTCGGCAGTGAAGCCTCCTCCAAGACGGACAAGCCCAGCTGCCCGTGTCCATGTCCACGCCCAGTAGATAAGTCGACGGCACATCGGAGGAGCTGCTATCGGGCCTCCATCGAGCGCTGGGCTCCGGCGGAGGGGCGCATCTTCTGTCCGTGCTGTGCGACCAGCAGGCGCCCGCTGATCAAGGCCGCCACGGAGATCTCGAACAATGGATGCTGTGCCGCCTGGGCAGTCGCCTGCTGGCCCTTGTGCTTCCTGCCCTGCCTGATGTCCTCGGACAACAAGGAGTACCTGTACTGCTCCAACTGCCGCTCCTTTCTGGGCATCTACGATCGCGAGAATAGCTGTGTGCAGCCCAGCAAGGAGTTTATGTCCTGCAGCAAGTCGGTCACGCCGCCGCCCAAATGTCCGCTCCAACCACCAACTGAAAATCTCTGAAAGGACTGAGTGCACGTCGTAATGATTAAATTGGTTGTGTATACGTTTGGCCAAGTTTTTAAATAAATACAAGTTGTTCAATAATAGCATCAATATCTTAATGTGTGTGGCTTTTATGTTAAATTAAACGGGCATCCAACTTTACATTAAAATAGCCGAAAGTTTTATAATATCTCCTAAAAAGCGAATCAAATTGAGGAGCTGCCGCCAAATTCAAACCATTTAGCCGAGGCACGAACCAGCGCAACATGCATTAATATCGACCGCTCATTTTGTTAATCGAAGCTTTCGTCGGCGCAACATCTGGCAACGCTTGCCTCTTCCTCTTGCTTTTGCGCCGAGAAGCTTCCTTAAACTGTTTTTGTATTTGTTTGGCGTAAGGTGGATTGAATTGATTGTTTATAATGAATCTGGAGGACATTTCGGTGGTAATTAAGCTGTTCGAAGACAACGCGCACAAGCTTAAAGTGAATCTACACTCCTACCAAACCCAAGTGCAGCAAATTGGAGCGGAGCTCACAAGAAGATGGACGCATGCAGATCGGCTGGACAGGAGTCTCATCTCACTGCATGATCACTTGGTGGGCAGTCTCAGCGAAGTTAATGCGCATGTAATGAAGCTGAATCTGCAACTATTCCTTAACCGACAATCAGTAAAGCTGGGAGAAGATGAAAATCCCGTGAAATCCATCGATAATCAAGATTCGTCGATTCACTCTGGTTTAGAAGCGAACGAAGAGGCGGGCTGTGCCGAAACGGATGGGCAGTCCTCGGAGCCGGTCTCCGTTGAATCCTGTGCTGAAGAGTCTTCGATGGAGATGCCCGTCGATCTGTCTGTACGCGTGGTCGTGCAGGAAGCCTCTTCAACAAAACAGCTCGACGAGATTTCAGTGGTCAATACATGCCTCTCAGAAGAGTGTCTGCCGCCTTTAGCAGTTTCCGATGAAAAATGCAATAACAGGAAACCACAAATAGACGAGATCACTGTGCCCTTGAAGCCTTTCCACGAAGAGTGTAAGGCTCGCAGTCCCCAGCCTTCAATAGCTTATTCGCAAAATGGTGCCCAGCCTATCGAAAGTGATTCCTCCCAACTCCGAATAGAAGAGATCCCAGTGACCTTCAAGGGTGTCCCGGAAACTTCAGAGACCAACAATCCAGTGCCTCCTGAATTCTCCGCTACAGAAACTTTTGGCAATGAGTCCTTTCAGGTTGCAACACAAGAAACTCAAACGAATAGCGCAGATGTCTGCAACAAAATCTCCAGGAACTCCACCAACTTGCCCACCAGCTTGCTGCTTGATAATGCTACTCTAGATCCTACTTCGGCCACCGAAAAAGTTCGCCAGCTACCAAAAACTCCAAGGAACCGATCCCTACTGCCTCCCAAAGGCGGCACTGAAACAACCAGCTTTGGTATCTACAACGCAATCTTGAAAAACATGGCTGCATTTCCAGCTAATACTGTAGTTTCTGCCGCCTTGGTACACGTGAACTTAGAGGATAATTGCGTCTATGTGGCTAAATGGGGTAGCAGTTCTAAGAGGATTCAGGAGTTGCTCCAGAGACAACTCTCACTGCAGGAGTTGGAACAGCTGCCCGACTACGGAGACATTTTTGCAGTCAACGACGGGACTAACAACATTATTACTCGCATTACCATCAACTCCAGTTCTGCGTGCGGAGGATATGATGCCTACCTTATCGACTATGGCGAGCACATTCACCTTGACGGTAACGAAACAATATTCCAACTGCCGGACGACATCAAACGGTTGCCGGCGGAGGCCATTAGATGCGATTTAACCAACTGTGATATCGCCCATATGAGCCGCTTTCTCTACCAGTTTATTACGATTCGAGTCCTTGAAAACAATGGCACTAAACTCGTGGTGGAACCGGTCAATGACAGCATAAGCAAACCCATAGATACACCCGGCACTAAATATCCTGCTGGAATAAACGAGGAAGACATGGCTATGCTGAATGAAATCGGCGAGAGCACCAGTGATCCTCTAAAGGCAGTTCTAGGCTTTCATCCCACGGACGAGCAACGCATTTGCCGGCACTACGATCCCAAGCTGAATGGCTGCTTTAAGGGTAAGTTATAGTAATCCACACATAAAGAAGGTGGATTATAGCATATATACATCGAATTAAGTGCATTTTGAAATTTAGGTATACAAAGGAAGTACTTTGTTTATTTTTAGGTAACAGTTGTCGTTTGGCACATGAGCCCTTTGCTCCTGATGGCGCCACCAAGGATGTGGAGGTAGTTGGAGCTCTTCCAGAGACTATTTTTGATACACCAGTGCCTCATGAAGTGGGTACCACTGCCCGCATCCTGATCACCTTCATTAATGGCCCCACCGAGGTTTTCGCACAGTTTTTGGACGGATCTGCTCCATTGGTGTGGGACAGGAAGGATGTGCCAGAGGGCAAACGGATTTTCAAGTCCAAGCCGCGTCTTCTGGACATTGTACTTGCTCTCTACAGTGATGGTTGCTTCTATCGCGCCCAGATAATCGATGAATTCGATAGTGAGTACAAGATCTTCTATGTGGATTACGGCAACACAGAGTTCGTGCCCCTGAGATGCTTGGCTCCATGCGAATACGTGGACAGCTTGAAGCCCCACCGCAGCGTTAGTTGTCACATGGAGGGAGTCGTAAGGTCAACATATCTGACACAGCAAAAGACAATCGAATGCATCGAATACCTTAAGAGTAAGCTACTAAACACGGAGATGGATGTGTTGCTGGTAGGGCGTCTACCTGATGGCTTCCTGATTCGCTTCCTGGCCGAGTGGGCAGCTTTGCCGCAACAGCTGGTGAAACGTGACTACGCCCAGCTCAGCAGTGCAACTCGGCGTGTGTCTATTGATAATGCAGACGATAATGTTATTAAATTTTAATGTCATTAGGAGAAAATTTGAATCTTTTCGGTTACAAATTATAACGACTGCATAAGCATCGCCTAACAACATTTCTTTTTGGAATCGCCACATATCGTTTTATCTGAAACGATATTTTAGGTTACCAACAATATTAGTTCTTAGTTCTATTTGTAAGCTTTTCATTTCTGAAGATGTAATATTTTGACCCATTAACATGACAGTGTTTATATTTCTTTCGAAGGACTCTTACTAATTTTGAATTAGCACTACTTCGCAGCGTACCAAGTAAACTGGCTGTGTTCCAACATGTTATCCACATGTCATGTGGCTTGATTAATGTGCTGTCTTGGGGCTGGTTCAATTATGAGCGCGGAACAGCAATCGGCAAATGACAAACACAAAACTGTCTCGGAACTAAAACAATAATAATAATTGCCTTTAATGTGCAAAAGCAAAAAATCAAGGGACACCGTTTTGGACTTGGAAGCGCGGATCTGTCGGTGGGGTGCTAATAGATTATGCCGCAACGATTAGAGAGGCAATAAATACCACCTGGCCGGGATCCCATGCGTGTTTGCTTCGCGGACGCATATGTGGACTGCGATGACGACAGGTCCTCCTTGTGTCCTCCATTGTGCTGGTGTTGACAATTTAAACGATTCGGCCAAAAGGGTAATGGGCCTGGCCAAGGGTCACTTTGGGGCACAGTTCGTCGGGGATGTACTCCAGATCACAACCAGGGATAGTTGGCCTTTCCTAAGGCAATACTTAAATCAGTTTCGGAAGCATTTCCCCTATAAACACCTGCGACCTACCAACCCCTGAGAACAATTAGCCTGGTTAAGTGTCAAAAGGATGGCAGACCCCGCGACATGTGTTCCCAACATAATGATGATTATGACCAACCGTACTGAACTACCCCGAAACTTGGATTTGCAGGAATTTTACTAGACGATTACAATTTGGAAAAAGGTTGTGTCTGTGTGTGTGGAGTGTTACTGCTGCTCTAGAAGGAACGGAACTCAAAAAACGAAATGGTTAACACAACGAAAAGGGAAAACTTCAGTAGTTGGATGCACGCTGGGTACAGGGCCCGCTGAAGATGGATCCCGCCTCCAGGCTCGGGCAGTTGACCTTCTGCAGCTCGGCAATGCGCTGCCATGTCATGTTGAAGTGGCGCACGGAACGGGCATTGGAGAGCTTGGCGATGGGTCCCAAAGTGCGGTATCCATTGGTAATGAAGCGTATGAATCCCTTGGCCGTGAGGTCCAGCAGAGCCGTCTTCACCTGCGACTCCAGATCCCCGCAGGCAAAGGGTCTATTTAAGGGACTGTAGCATATTGTATGCTTTTAATTATATCACTCAATCTGACTTACTCCTTTTCCAGCATCTCCAGGATGTGCTCCTCGTGGATACCATTGCTGTACTTGGGATGATCCTGGAAGATGCGCACCATGTCCAAAATATAAAGAGGCAAATTGATGTGGTAGCTGTTGAAGGGAAGCCGCAAAGTGGTGGGCTCACAGTCCCTGATCGTGCCTTCGTCACACATTCTTCTGCTTATATAGGAGATATTTGTTCTAGTGAGTTATCAGGGAATACTATTCCAGGACAGGCAGAGCGAAGCCTATGCTGTGACTGTATGAGGCAGGGCCCACTTGGTCATGCTCCTGGACATAATGTGCACGGGTGCTAATGTCATCCAATTAAAGGTGTCATTAACGGTTTGTCCAACGCAAGTCCCCGAGGTTTGCTCCTCAATTACTGGCCAAACAAACATCGAAACAATAACATGTTCGACTGGCTATATTACCCGGTAATTTGTCTAACGCACAAATAGCCAATGTCCAAAACGATCCTCCCAATGCATTAGCAATGGGTCCCCGGGGTGGGTCAAATGAATTGGACTTAGTCCATAGAGCTCGGTGGTTCGGTAATGCAACTAATTCAAACCGATTCCGAAACGTACTGCTTGTATATCCTGAATCCATCTCGCTCAACCCTTTTAATGATATTAGACTGCCTCCAATTCTCCAGACATGTCACTCCGGCACGCAATCCATTATAGCCGGGTTCAGTACTCAGTTGGGCCAAAAGAACATGAATGACATTGGTAGCATGACAGTCAAAGGGTTAACTATGGCCCAACTTTTGCCAACAGATAATAAATTAGCGCATACATTATGAAACGCCATAAGGATGCGACTTCCGGTTGCGGGAGACGGCAAGGACTCCGTGACCCAAACTGCCAATTTGCCCCGGCAAACAGGTGACACTTTCTCAACCCGAAACGGAACGGGTTGAAGACGACACACGGAGTTCATTTACATGTCGATGGCTTTTAGATATGTGGGGTCTTGGATGTCGTGAGTCGCGTTTCCGGAAGACAAGTATATTTTACGATTTTGGAGAATCATGCTTGATCAAATTAAACTTGGGCATAACTTTTTGATGTCTTAATAATAGTGGATTAGGCGAATTGCAACTTTGTGACACTGCAGTTTTTGGAGTTCATCTAGAGGAGAAATTTGTTTTCGAGCTACTGAAATCGATTGGTATATGCTGGAAAAAACTTTAGGCCAGAAAATCTTTGGAAAATTCTCTTTCATCTACCTATACTATACTTATTCTGGATTACCTAAAACCTTGTAAATTCTTAGAATTTACAAAAAATCATTTCATCTTTTAACTGGGAAGATATTATATCTATTATAAAATTTAAAGGACAAAGATATTTCGTAAAATTTTTATGTAATGACTCAAAATGTTGTATCTTTGAATTTCTTTTCAAGTACTTCAAATTTACTTTATAGTTAGAAATATACTGCTAATTAAAACCTCCGATCCTGCGAGCATTACTTTCAGTGAGTGCAATTACTTTGGGGCTTCCGCCACGCCTCTTTCAGACTATTACCGCTGTTACCGTGGAACATTCGTCCACAAAATGTCGGTCGATAGCCAGGGTCACTCTCATTGGTCAGCGCCTGGGAAATAGGAAATTCTTCCAATCTCCGCCCCACCACATAACAGTTGACCAACTCAAAGGGCCAAGAAGTTGGCAGCGGGCGGGCGAGGGAGGAAGTCGATGGACTGGACTGGGCTGGGGCTGGGGCTGGGGCTTGTAATCTGGCTAACCAGTTATATGAAGTCCTTGTAACCGGGCAGCACAAATAAATGCCATGCGGCCCCGGCCAAGTGTCATGTATTTGACGAATAATTACCGTCAACATTGCGTGATTGGTTGAATCAGCCGGCGATGGAGGGTTGTGGCTGGCTTAGAATTAGCCCCAAAATGGGGGTGTCTGTGTGTGGGGGGTTGTGTGACAAGAACCTATAATTACCGCGGCAGGCAGGTGGTCGCCAGTAGCAGGGCCATAACCAGGAGCTGGATTCAGATATAGCCCGGCCGTCGGCGCGAACGGAAGTCACCGATAAAGGATGCACTCGCCCGCCCAGTCGCCCATCCTGGATGTCACCGAGACCGTGTCGATGCACTCCGACCTGGATGCGGACCTGGAGTCCAAGAACAATCCGTCATACTCCATTTCCATTCCCCAGAATCTCCGCCTGACCGGCCTGGGCTTTCCCGGCATGATCGGTGGCAAGAGATCCGCGGAATCGCTTCCCGCCTTCGAGTACATCGCACCACCAAGTCACGCTCTCCAGGCCCTGGAATTTCCACTGATGGAGCTCAATCGTGTGGGCGTGATGGGAGGCGGAATGTTTCCGGGTTTTGTGCACCGTCGGGTTCGCGGCGAAAAGCGACCCATTCCGGAGGCCCAAAAGGATGCCAAGTACTTTGAGCGGCGCAAGCGGAACAACGAGGCGGCCAAGAAGTCCAGGGATGCACGTAAGATCCGCGAGGATCGGATAGCTTTCCGAGCGGCTCTGCTGGAGCAGGAGAACTCCATTCTGCGGGCACAGGTCCTGGCGCTTCGGGATGAACTGCAAGCGGTGCGGCAGCTCCTCGGAGCCACAACAGCCGGCGGCATGTTGTCCATGGCCAGACAGCTGTAAGTTGCCGGATAAGAAACCGGGTTAGGAGAGCAGCTTGGAAAATGTACATATCAATGAGGGGAGCTAGTGAGATTATTTAGTTTGATGAGCTTTTGTTAATAAATGTTTAAAATAAATACTAAGGATATAAGTAGGTGTCCCTTAAAATATGTTGTTCAGATATATTGGCCCATCTCCTAAGTTGAAGAAACCGACATCGAAAAAAGTGCTATTAAATCATATACATCTATATAATCTATCTTTAAATTGTGAAATAGAAACCATTACAATTTATTAAAAGTGTGTAGGACTAGATCGAGTGTATTTCATTTTAAAAAAGTTTTCAACAAACGCATACAAATAATTAGAAAATATTTAACAAGCTAGTGGCCAAGTGTGCGCGACTGCACCTTGCCTGCCGAGTCCAGGATGAGCAGAACCTGCTCCTGTCCAGAACTGCGAGCACAGGCAATGTCCGTCACTTTGAGGCGAGTGTTCATGGGCTCCTCCACGGGTAGCTCCCTGTCGCGATAGAAGTCGTAGTGGCGCACAGTGCCATTGGTGAGGGCAGAAAGCTGCCAGCCGTCGCTGGAGAGGATCAGAGCCTGGACGAGATGCTGACGCAGCCCGCTGCCACTAAGGAGCAGCTGCTGGTCAAAGATCCGCATTTCGTAGGAACGCCTGGGTCGCTCAATCAGCTCCAGAGCTGTGTTGGGTCGGGCATCGTACGAGGGACTGTGATCCATCTGCTGGTCAAGCGATCTTCGCTCGTTGAGTATGATGTTTTGAATGGCACAGGATTTGCCCGTCTCGGGATCGGCTTCAACAGCAGTCGGCGGCAGTCCGGTCTTGGGCCTCTGCTGATTCCTCTGGCGCTGTCTCTGCCGCTGGTTGCAGTTGAGTATGATCACAGAGCCATTGGACAGACCCACGGCCACATAGTTCTCGTTGGAGAGCACACACAACGAGGTGGGGAACAGGAAACGACTTTCGTTCACAGCGATTCTCGTGAAGCGTTCCGTCTTCAGACTTCGGGTGCAGCAGAGCACAAAGTTCCGGTTGGTGCACACATAGATGAGCTCACTGCCCGTATCGATGCTGGTGAAGCGCAGGCCCTGCAATCCCTGTCCCTGGAGCGCCGTGGTCAGCGTTTGCGTCTCATTCAGCTCCCGCAGCACATCATCGCTGTAGATGTTGCCCTGGAACAGGGATTTGGTCTTCTCGTACCCACTCTGATGGCTCTTCAGGAGGCGTCGCTCCAGATAGCTCCTCAGATCACAGCTGCCACTTTGCAGGAGCTTCACCCGCGCCCACGGGGAACTGAACTCGTTGCTGTTGCTGGACGAGGCTCCCTCCACCAGAGTCCACATGGTCAGCAGGCCCGAGTCGTTCAGCGAGGCGTACTGTAAAAGGATACAGTACCATACCATACCATTTTGTATTATAAATTTCAAATTTTTATTTCATAAAAACATACCTGAACTTCCTTGTACGTCCTCTGCAAGCCACTTGTGGCAGCTATTCCTCCAACATTGAAATGTGATCTAAAACTGCGCACATCCACCACGGCGCCCAGGTCCATGGCATTCACCTCCTTGTCCTGTTGCTCCGGCATGGGAACCACCGACTGTGTGGCTGCAAAGTGGGTCAGATGGCCATCCAGCTTGGAGCAGTAACTGTGCGTCTCGCGCAGATCCCACATGGCCACGCTGCCATCCTTCAGTCCGGCCACCACGATATCCTGTGCCTCGCCAGAGAGCGCCACCCGGCAGACTTCCGCCCAGGTGGAAAGCAGGCGCAATGGCTGGCCAGGATTGGCCAGGGACCACACCATCAGCAGGCTGGCAAAGTCCTCCTTATAGACGTTGCTGTCCGGTGGGCACTCATGCACAGTGACCACCAGGTGTCCATTTCCGGCACTTCCAAAGATACGGCGCACCGGCAGAGCGTTGAGGAGTCCTGTCTGGAGTGGTACACTTCGAGGACTAGTGCCCTGTCCGTGGTTTTTATTGCCCTCCAAAACCATGCACATGAGTCTACCGGCCTTGTGAAGAAACGAATTCAGTCGCTCCAGGTCGGTGCTCTTGGCCAATCTCTTTTGCTGCTGTTGCTGGGAGCGCGCCTGCTCCAGGCGATGTACTTGCTCCAATCGCGTAATGCTAGCTTCGTATTCATCTGCAGGTTGGTTGCTAGATGTTGCATCCAGCTCCGCATCGTCACTGCAGCTGAGGACCAACTGCCCACCGTAGTGGGGCGGATGTTGGGTCCAGCTGCTTCGACTGTGCACCTCCAGCGTCTGGCACTCGCCGTCCATTTGGGGCGACTGCGTCTGCGTGGCCACTTGACTGGCATTCAGCTTTCCATAGCTCTGCATGAATCCCTCGTAGCTGAGGGGCTTCATCTCGAACAGGTGGTAGTTCAGTTGGTCGAAACGCAACTTGGCCATCAGCTCTTCGCCGCGACGACTGATCACGGGATGGGACACAAAACCCGAATAGCCACCGTAGTACACGTTGGCCTCTCCACTCCTGGGCTTCTCCACGCCGTTGGTGCTGATGCCGGAGTCCAGTTGCTCTGAGTTGGCCATTGAGTTGGTGTCAAAACTATCATACTGATTCTGCGTGGACAGACTGCCTAAGGGATTCCGGCGCAAATGCATGTCATAGTGGCCGGAGTCCAGTTTCCGTTCCTGATCCTTGTCGCGTGGGATCACCGTGATGGGGTTTTGGGTGGGCTCCGAGTCCTCTTCCTCCACCTCACGTTCCTCTTCCACTTCCGCTTCGGAGGATGAGGGTTCCTGTCCTTCATCGGATTCTTCCTCCACTGGCGTGCTGGCATCGGTTTCGAAATCAGATTCATAGGACTCAAAGTCATCGGAGTAGTGATCGGATTCTGGGTCTGGCTTTTTGGCTTCATCGAACTTGACTTCAAAGGCCACTGGCTGTTTCACAGGCTGTGATTCCTTGGCCTCCACTTCGCTCCTTTGCTTGGCGGATGCACGCTTGAGGATGACCACTTCCTCGGGATCCAAGGTGCGGGTATAAGTTCTGGCTCTTGCCGGAACAGCACGAGCATCTCCTTTGGAAAGAGAGTTGGACTTGTGCTCCTTTTTAGCCTGAGCAACAGGGGAATATTCCTTTGAAGGAGGCGTGGGCGATTCCTTCTCCTGCTCCGCCTGTCCTCTGCGCTTTTGCGGTGGCGAGGCAACTGTGACACTGTGATACGTGTCCAGAACTGCATTGGGTTTCGATTTGGACACGGGCTTCGCGGTCTTGGTGGTCTTGGACTGCAGGGGTGGGTTTGTGGTTGTGTTTGTGGTTGTGTGTCTGGTGGTGGCACGCAACGCACCTGGGGACGGAGTGGTCCTTTTGCTCAAGGACTCCCTTTCCTTGTTTTTCCCCGTGGCTAATGGCTTTTTGCTGGTGCTCGAAGGTTGCGCTGCTGTTGTGGTTTTCCTCGCAATTTTTTCACCTTCCAAGCTATCCGGTTGCTTGACCAGTGACCTTCGCTCCTTTGATTCCCTTGTGGTGGCCGGTCCACTTGTTGCTGGTGATTTAGTGACCTTCCTTGGCACTTCCGTTTTGACCTGCAATTTCAAGAGATTTTCGAACTCTTAACGGCGTGCCTAGTTTTGCAGCACTGTTCCTTAGCACTTTACAGCACTGACCCAATCTTATCATATTTTTTTTTCTGTGTGGCGATCGGTTCGTTTATTAGTTTTAATTAAATGCTATTACATTTGTGCTGTGCTATTAAAATGCTGAAGTGTGTGCTATTGGGCAATACGTCTTTTTTTGTTATTAATTCGAAAACTAAAGCTGCAAATCTAACTGTGCGCCAGGTGTAAATGGTAGAAGTTTCATTTGTTTGGGTTTTTGTGTGCGAGTGAAATGCAAAATATATATGCAAAAAAGTGAAATCGCTTTCGGCTGCCAATCAATGGAAAGGTGTACTATATGCCAGTGCTTTTGATATATGTATTTTCCGTTTTTAAGTGCCTTTCTTTGGGCTTACGTTCTTGCTGCTGGTTCGCCCCGCAATTTTTGACATTTTAGAAGGAACAAATGCTGCTTAAAGTGCTTAATTGTATTGCCAATTAATAGGAGTTAATGCCGAACGCCACGTATATTTAATCAATCGTAATGCAGCTCAGTTGTGACATTTTTTCCTGTTTCCTTGGCAACCAATTCCTTGTACATAGTAACAACAAATGGGCCAGCAATAACACAATCAGCTGATTCGCCAGTGCTGAAAAGGGCCGGCATGTTTGAATGCAACTGGTAGGTATTAAAAGGATGAACAATTAAATTTAGTCAAATGCTTTCAACTTTCACTACAATTCAATGATTTATTTAAGGGAATGTAATGCTAAACTATTTCAACGCCTTTTGAACTATAACTACATTTGATTTGCGAATGTTATCGATTGTTCGACCGATAGGTTTTCATCGACCATAGCCGCCCATTTTCAAATTTAAAAAGTCCGTTTGGGTGATAAAGCTCGGTTTGAAGCCATTGTTATTCTTAACTTAAGTTTAGCGTAATATCACAATAAATAAGATTAGTGTTGAGCTCGGTACTAGGCAAATTGCTGACCCCCTGCACATAATAAGCAGACAAGCAATACCCATAAGCTGTGGCTGGATTTCATGGCTCCACTGTCATCAAAATTCCTGTAGTACTGCGTGTTGGCATACCGGTCGTAGATGTGCTCCATCACCCGCTTGGCATTATCGCGGTGCAGCTCCTGGAGACCCAGAAGTCCATCGGTGTCGTCTCGGAACAGCACATTGTTCCTCTTATCAAAGATGCCGTAGAGGGTAAATGAACGCGTCTCACTCTTGTACTTTCTACCAAACAACTGATCCATATCGCGCAACGAGTTATAGATCTCATTGCGCCGCGTCAGCGAGGAGTTGTGCGTCATCAGGTGGCCACGGGTGGTCCAATGGAGGTAGCAGTACACGAAATTGGAGCGCTTTTCGATGCCACCGTAGGGGCACAGCACCCGGAAATCCTTGTGGTTTCCTGGAGTCAACCAATTGGAGGTGAGATTGCCAGCCACGTACTTCTTGTACATATCCGAGCTGAGGAAGGCCACGTCGGCGCCCTCGGAAAGGCAACGCAGGGCACCCTCGTCGCCCTGGTAGTGAAGAGGACACTTGCGTCCGCTCTGTGGATTCCACAAACAGGAGTCGCGGTGGAAGAAGGAGTGCAGCGACTGCACCTTGCCAGTGGCATTCACAATAGTCTCCTGAACGGACAAATGGGCAGCTCCCTCATAGGATGGCAAACAGGCTCTGGCTCCTTTCAGATCCCTAAAGCTCTCGAACCTGGCATCCTTGTGCACGAGCGCAATGGTCACGTACCGATCATGCATATCTGCTGCGAACTCGTAAAGTAGTGGCACTAGATTGTAATCCCGCTGAGCTTTCACCCGCATTTCCTGATCCACCAACACCACATCTGTCTCCTTGAACTTGGTATTATCCAGGCACTGTTGCACATCCATGGTGCGGACGCACTGAATATTCGGTTGCACACCATAAACCTGAGATGCCTCCTGCAGCCAGGAGCACTTGATGTGCTGGATGATGGAAGTCGTGCAGAAGACAATGGAACGCGGCGGATTGCATTCCGGGAAGCTGTAGGCCGACTGGAATGCGGTGGCCTGTTCCAGGTAGTCATCAATGGCTATCACATTATCCAGCGGGACAGTGAAAACGTGGTACGTCTCCAGCAGACTGAGTAGGGCATTCTGCCAACTATCTGGCTCGTCATGAGTAAGACCAGTGACCAGGCGCTGCACTTGGGCGGCATGTGTCCGACGGGCAGCCACCACGGGCCACGGCTTGGCCACCCAAACACAGGGTTGACTGGCGTTCAACGGCTGCAGATGACCATCTGGGCAGAGGTAGCTGTAGTCCGAGGGATCCGACTGGGGCGCAATGCCAGAGAACTGAAGGGTACCCAGTTAGGTTTAGGATGAGAATTAAGGTTATGTATCAAACTCACCCCAAAATGACTTCGCACGTCATCCAGACGAGCCCAGGCCACATTGCCGCCACCACTGGTCAGACAATAGAGCGCTCCACGACGTCCCCAGTGCTTGTCGGTCTGGTCACAGCTGTCCGGCTCATAGCACATTTGGCACAGCGAGGGATATCGGCTCTTCAGGATGCGATCCTGCTTGGGATCGGGCACCCAAGGACCAGCCTTGCAACTGGGCCCGAAATACTTGGCTGTGGATGCGATCCGGTCCTCCGTGACGGTCATTTCGGGATCGCAGGTCTTTGAGACCATTGCAGCTTCGAAGTACTGTAACGAAGGCATATAGAATCAAAATTGGAGTACTTTTAAGAGATCGCTATTAAGGTGACCTACATTTGCCAGGACCTCCGTCCAGTGATTGCCCAAGCCGTAGCCAGGATGGCACAGCCTTGCCCCGCGCAGGTCATGAACTGTGTGGATATTGGCTTGGTTGTCCACCACAGCCACAATTTCGTACTCAAAGTGCGACTCATGGGAGCGCAGCTCGCTGGCCACCAGGATCTCCACGCTGGCCCATCGGGCGGCCACCAGATCCTCTGAGGTGAGCACTCCAAAGTGCGCGGTGCCCTTGTGGATACGCCTCACGCAATCCAACCGATCCACGCCGATGACGCACTCGATGTTGCTCTTCGCCGCCAGCAGCGGACAGAACTTGGGGGTTTTCCGATAAACGCCACGCGATTCCACCACACAAACACGCACTGCGGGAGGAGGAGCAAGTCAATTAATATAGTTTGGACATTTGCCCAGTAAACGCTTAGTAAATACGCTAAAAACCAGTTCCCAGCCGCGCTATCAATTATGATTGTATTCATTTTGAAGTATCTTTTGGCGCTTCTGCCGCATGCAGTTTTCGGAAAAGATATCATCTGCGGGGTATTTCCCTTTTCTGTTTTGAATTTAAAATTCCCCTCAGGTGTCGGGGGAAACCTGATGAAGTGAGCTGCATTCGCAGAATTGGCGTAATGGCGCAAACTGGAGTCGAGTCAGTTCTGCCCGGACGCTTTTTGGGCAGTGGATCACGAGCTGCAAGGTCGGGACAGGTTTTTGACCGTCATTTGTGTACAGGTGTGTACTGTCACCAGCGGATTTGGATTACACCCGGCGGAGTGCCAAGGTCAGCTGCTCTCTCGCAGTGCATTTCGATTTGAAGATCCACGATTGGAGTTTTTTAAAGTGGTTTTATGGCCAATTAAAAGTTTATTTTTAGTTTATAGCTTTATTTAGATTGACTAGCATTTTTGCTTGAGAAGATATCATATGCTTAAAATGCAATCAATGGCTGTCACTCTTTACAGCTCAATATTTCATAGTCTAGTGCTTCTGATGATTAGTAAACAAACATAACTTCAAGGAAATGTTATTGCATTTTCAAAATGACTTAATTTTTCAATTAATTTCCACTTCAATCTTGCTGTAATGATCATCTTGTATTTACTCCAGCTTTCACAAAGATTTTAATTACAATCACAAGCACAGCAATCACTTATCGGCATCCGTATGTCTACTAATCTCACAGTTTGCATGTTTGCTATTTATACTTCCAGACAAAAGGCAATACGCCCCCTCATCTTTGATTGACTTACATTTTCCATCGTCGGGCGGCTGCACAGCCACGCACATTGATACTGATAAGAACGAGGCAAACAGCCCCACCAAAATACATGTAAGCCACTGCATTCTGAGCTCTGATTGCGTCAACTGCTCGTTAATTGTTAATTCGCACTGGAGATCGGCGACAAGTCGGATTGAGTTAGTAATTTAATGACTAGTTGGTTCCAAGCCCGAACCTCTCGCAGCGGAAGATCGACGGCGACTGAAGCCAGCCCTCCCAGCTGCCAGCGAGTAAAACCCGATCCGAGCAATCCGCAGCTCAGGCTGCAGAACGAGATCGGCGGAATAATGGAATACAAAGCAGCTACGCACGCCCAGCTGATGAGTCAAGTGGGGTTTTTGGATAGTTCTCTGATGGATTAGCACCTTTTGGGATTTGGGGATCACCTGCAAACAAATTTGGTTTCTGCTGCCTGCTAAGCAGTCTGCGCTTTATCAAATTGGCCTGGGTATAATGTATAGCCACCTTATGATTGACTGATGCCTTATCGGCCAACTTGACTTATCAGTGGCCATACAAACTGCATGCCGATCAGCGTCGTTTTCTTCAGTCTGTGATCGCAGCTCTTGGCGTTCGTATGCAACTTGATCTCAGGGTAATTGTCACTAGTGGGTGGATTTCAATCGCGTGAACCTAATTGCTCAGCAGATAATTAAGATACTTTATTAGCAATATACACTTGTGGCGCTCGGCTGTGCAATTTCATTGTATTCAAAACTTGTGATCATCACAACTTAACGCAGTCAAGTAAAGCACTTCTATGACTTCCCGGCTAAAACTTGAGTTAACATTATTTTCACTTCGGGGTTTTTTTCATTACCTGCCCTGTTTTTTCTAGGTATTTCTAAATTTTGTTTGATTAATGGTCAATTTTCGAAAGTTCATGCCAGCGATTATTATTTCGGGTTTGCCAAAGAGTAATTTTTTCTGTGTCAAGTTTACAAGTGATTTGGCACCGCAAACCGGTTTTTATCTGCAAAGTGTATACAATATCTCAGCTTATATTGAACTTACACAACGCGCAATAACTAATTCAGTTGGATGGCAGAAGGCACAAGAGGGGATCTTGAGCATGCCTCAAAGGCATTCTTATTATGGCAGGCCCTACAATCTTAATCGCACATAGGGTCTTAATTTTGCCATAAGTGCGGACAGATAAGACTCCTTGTTCCGGAGAGATATGCTTTTTGATATGCTATCTCCATAGAACTTGCATGCAGCCGATTTCTGCCGTCTACATGGTCTGGACTAGCATCTTATCACGATGAGATTAGATATAGTTTAGCATTCTCTGATTTACACCCATATCGCTGTGGCGATTTAAACACTTTCCACCAGACGACAGATCCCCACGAACGTCGAACGGCGAGAGAAGACGTGCGAAAATTATGATCTTATCTGGGTAGGAACACCCTCTCACCCGGAATAACCAGAGGATTGCGTGGAGACAGCTGAACTGTGATACACTAGCCATAATTAACAGACTGGAATCGGACAATGGTGCGATTAAACAGGCGCCTGCTGCCTATCAAGGCACACTTCTTCTTCTTCATGGCGGGTGAGTGCAAGGATTGATCTTAACAATCCAGAATTGGAGTTGATACCAATCAATTCTCGGTATTCCTTCGTATATCAATATTCTTTATGCTGGCATTACCGAATATACACGTATGATTCGATAAGATTTCTTGGAAATCAGTTCAGAACATTTACAAATTTAAAAAAACAAGTATTGATTTTGTTATTATGTGCAAATGGCTCTAATTTACTTTCAGCCATGGGCCCCATACTGCCACAACTGTCGGTGATTGGCAAGCAGATCGGTGTTCCGCCGGATGTCATGGGCTACATAACGGCCGCCTTGCCCTTACTCTATGTTTTAGCCAAACCCTTGGTGGGTTTCCTAGCCGACTATTTCACGGTGAGCTTGATGCACAGAGTAGCTAATGGTACCTGTACTAAACCACCATTTCCCCTACAGAGCCTGCGCAAGTTCATCTTCATCGCCCTGATCCTCATCATGACACTGGCCTTTGCCGGCTTCTATTTCCTGCCCGACAACTCCCATTTCATCCCATTGGAGGAAGGAAGTGCCCAATGGAATGTGACGTTATTAGGGAATCCACCCGATTGCAAGCCCAGCATTCAATCCTCCAACGCATTTTGCCAAACCACTCACCAGGCAAAATGCATTCAGGAAAAGGAAGGAGGAGAATTCTCCACTCTAATTGTAGCCAACGAGGCAGGTCTCAATCTTGGCCAGAATCTGCTTCATGGCAACGAGAGTCATCACATCTGCCTCACCCAACCAACAACCGTAGACTGGAACACTGCATCCTGCGAGGTGCGTCATGTAAATAGCTGCATCTATGGAGCTGGCAAGTTCTGGCTTTTCGTGTGCCTGCTCTGCATTGGAATCGTTGGCTTCAACGTGACCAACTCTATATCCGATGCCTGCTGCTTTGACCTACTGGGCGATGAGGAGCAGGGGAAGTACGGAGCGCAGAGGGTGTGGGGCACCATTGGATTTGGAGCCACGGCCATGCTAGCTGGAATCGTAGTCAACTGGTGGACCACGGATGCGGTGAAAAGTCTGACGCCTGCACTGATCATCATGTGCGTATTCAGTTTGCTTGATCTCTTCAGTGTGTCCAAGCTGAAGCTGCCGAAACTGGGTGGATCCGAGTCCATCTGGAGCGATGTTTGGCAACTGGTACGCCAGCCACCCATTCTGGTCTTTCTGTTCTTCGCCACGATGGCTGGCATCATTGACTCCTTCATCATATACTTCATGTTCTGGCACTTGGAGCAGGTGGCCGAGGCCACTGGTTACATGCACCAGATCAAGTTGATCGAAGGTCTAGTGGTGGCCGCCGAGTGTCTAGCCGGCGAGGTGCCCTTCTTCTTCTACAGCGGCAAGATCATCAAGAAGCTGGGCTACGTTCATTGCATGAGCATGTGCTTTTTCTTCTACGCTGTGCGGCTGTCGCTGATTGCCTGGATTCCCAATCCCTGGTATCTGGTGGGTGTGGAGCTCTTCTTCCAGGGCATTACCTATGCCTTGTGCTACACCTGCATCGTGGCCTACGCCTCGGCGGTGGCTCCTCCGGGTACATCGGCAACTGTTCAAGGACTGATGGCCGGAATGGATGATGGGCTTGGGTTCTCCATCGGATCCCTAATCGGCGGACTCATGTTCAACAGCCTGGGAGGACGAGAGAGCTTCAAATACTTTGCCATCGCCGCCATTTGCACATGCGTAGCACACATCGTGATACGTCCCACCTCCAGGAAGAGGCAGTTCCTGCCGAAACAGGCATACGCGCCACCCACGGAGCAGGAGATCAAGCAGCCGCCAGCTCAGGAAATGGAGGAGATTCGTTTGGGATAAATATAGTATCACATGCCATTTATTGTTGCATATTTTTGTACGCATTTTTAAGAAACAAAAGAAAGACAAGTTGTCCAAAAGTTGAATGACTTTGCACTCGGTTTTTGTGTGTTCCATTGTTGGCGCACACGCGATCTCAAGTGCTCCGGCCCCTCCAGCTGTCAATATGGTTATATAATACCTGAGCACCGCACAAAAGAACCCATTGAAAGTGAATCTGGGGCCAGGCAGATGCCTCGCTTAAATGGCGAGCGATTCCCACTCCATATATTAACGAAACTGGCCCGATCGGCCTGTTTCAATGATCGCGAATTGAAAGTCTGTTACGGGTTTGACACTGATCTGCAGAATTGGGCTTCTAGATATGTTAAAAATGTGTATGTTTTTTAAATAATACCACCTACAAATAATTCACCCATTCAACAGAGATATTTCATTTCATCTTATTCTCTATCAATTCTTTTCCTGACTAGAATATCCATCAGATTTAACCGACTTCTTCCTATCAAATCGTCTACTGATTTCTCGGTTAACCTTTCCGAAATAGCTCAAAAATTTAAAGAATGGCCGTTGTGTAGAAGAGTGTTTAGGCTTGAAAACTTTGTCGCCTAGTGTTGGTAATTTATGCTCGAGTGTGGGCCACACTTCAGAGCTGTCCAAATGAGTGCTAGTAAAAATTAGATTGGCCCAAGTCAAGTTCGGAATCTCGCCGCAAGCTGGATGGCTATATAAGCCCCGAGTTTCCATTAGAAGCCTGCATTGTTTCCGAAGATGTGGCCCACGTGGCTGCTGGTGCTCCTATCACTATCACTGGCCAATGGAAGGCAGGTGGGCAGATGCAGCTTGGCCCGTCAGCTCTATCGCTACGGAATGCCCTACAACGAGCTGCCCGACTGGCTGTGCCTCGTGGAGGGCGAGAGCTCCTTCAACACACAGGCCATTAATCCCTCGAACGTGGATGGATCCGTGGACTGGGGTCTGTTCCAGATCAACGATCGCTACTGGTGCAAGCCTGCGGATGGTCGTCCCTCCAACGATCTCTGTCGATTGCCCTGCCGCCTGCTGTTGAGCAACGATATCCGGTATTCTATTGCCTGTGCGAAATACATCAGGAAACAGCAAGGATTCTCCGCCTGGGTGGCTTGGAACAACCGATGTCAGGGTGTCAAGCCCAATGTGAATCACTGTTTCCGGCGGCGCCACAGAAACTCGGGCTGAGGATCGAAATTGGATGATTCTTTATAAATTCGGCTACGAACATTTATTTACTTAGCTCTTAAGCTGATCCAATACATGGATTTAAAATACACGGATACACATGTAGAAACCTTAAGTCTTAATGTCTTGTTAAATGATGATTATGAATGAGATTACTTATTTTAATATTATACAGCGATATATATAAGTGTAAGCATAAAAATAGCTATTAAAAGTTGTTCAGACTATATCTCTGCATTTTCTTATTTAAAAGGTACCACAAATTTGTATTCAAAACAAACCGCTAAGTTTTTTACTTTGCATATGTAAAATAAAATGTAAGTCGACATATAGAAAGAATCTCGCTAAATACCTTATCTTATCAATTGATTAATGTGTTTTTTGAAATCTTATTAGCTGCAGGTATTTTTATCACCTCTACTATTTATTATTTTGTAGCTTATTAATCATATATTTTTATCTTTCATCTTTAGCATTTTCAAATCTAGCTTGAAATGTTTGAATTTAAGCTTCAGTTCACCCCGGAACCAGTTCGATTGGCAGAACCAGTTGCACACCTCCCTGAATCAAATCGATAGGCAGGCGAGTGCTGGTG